AATGCACACCACATCAGTTATTCATATACATATATGTATGTTGAAAAATAGAAGAGGCTCTTCCGAAAAGTCGAGTTGTACTCGTAAATTTTCGATCTGGTAACACCAACCCGTCGTCAGACGACGTGGTGACGAGTACAACTGGACGTTTCCGAAGAACCTCTTCTATTTTTCTTTATATCAATTCGGAATGCATACTACCTCTGATCTACATGTGTACATATATATATATATATATGTATTTGACGGCAAACACGTTCTTTGGGCAAACAAGAGGATTAGTTAAGGTAAATTTTCGACGTTAGCTTTTTCTTCACGCAGGAAGTCGTCTGTAGGATTTTATGCGATTCCTATGGTGCTGTATATTGGGGCCTATCGGGAAAGTCGACCTCTGTTTGCATCCACTAACATCAACCGGCATCTAGAGACGAAACCACATGTCTCTAATGGCCATGAACACAATTGATACTGGGGACACCTTCGCATGGGATAAAACCCCCATTACCGGAGCTTGCCCCTCCAAAAAAGCCGAGAGTTTCTTGAAGCCGTGCACTCCGATGAATAATGCATGAATTGACACATTGAATTAGATGCCTTATATAGAAATCTCAGGGAAAAGTGAAACAGATGAGAGCCAATAAATAGGGAATGACGCACCCGGCGGCCGCTTACCGACGCTAACACCAGATGAAGGTTAATTTTTCAGCGCGTTTGAAATGTTAATTGTTTTTTGCATATTTACTCAAGTCTGCCGACGACCTGGGGAACCAGCGGCAATATTGTGACTTGCAAAATTCTCTATTGTATGCCCAAAGAACGTGTTTGCCTTTGAATTATACTTCTTGAGATACCTGCCTTCCAACACGCCCCTCTGCCCTTGTATGTTCCCAATCGCAACGCACAAGACTACGAGCCCCTGACTCAGTGGTTAGAGGCATTGGACTTCTAACTAACAGGTCGCGGGATCAAGCCCCTGGTGTTTCACACTTCGGGCTTGGGTATGACTGGCTGATGACGGCTAATAAGCCAGAAATGGCCATTCCAGTTTCCACGGTCCTTGTCGGTAATGTGGTCGATAATGTGGTGGCACCCCCTTTGTCTTGTTTTAGAGTCTTTATTGCTTTCGTTTCTTCGTAATATAGCGTTGAGAACTTGCTACGGTTGCTGCGAACGGTGAAATGTTCCCCATCCGTAGGATAGGATTGACTCGAAGCTGGCAAGGAAGTCCAAGTAATTGGATTGTACTTCCTTCCTTCGCACAGCACGTTTTCCTCTGTTGCCGTTAGGACCCTTGATGATCGATTAGCGACTTTATTTCTACAACCATTTTAAAACAAAACGGACTACACAGAGAAAATTATGTCACTCTTAAAAGATGATTCAACATACGGACCTCTAGCTGCCAACTCCACAAAATCACAGAACTCAGAAGAAACACTAAAACACCTTACAGGAAGGAAATTAATATCGGTACTTTTCACCAAGTCGGTAAAACACGATAAACCAACAATCGTCAAGATATATGACCTTCCTGAAATTCAGAAAACTTCTATTCCGCTTCGGTGCACCCAATTATAAGATCACGAAGTGGCCACTGAACCAACTACACCCACTTACGGAGAACCCCGAGAACTCCATTCAGGATTCAAGAGATAATGGTGTAATTAGATGTAGTCTCGCTCCGACGAAACTAATTGTCATGCAGAAATGAAATACCTCTACAAACTATTCTCTCAAAATGGGTACCCGCATGACTTTGTACGTCAATGCATGAGGCACCTGCAATTCAGCGTTGGAGGCCGGCCAGCACAAAGACCAACCGCCTGACCAACTCTCCCGTAGGTGAAAAATATATCTGAACTAGTCGAAAGACAACCAAAAACACCAGATGCGCGTAACAAACCAACCGGTAACTACCTTACGCACACAGCTTGTACACCCTAAGGACAGGGTTGGCTTCCTCGAAGGAAAAGGTGTTGTCTACAAAATCCCATGTTCCATATGTGATGCCGTCTATTGTGGCCAAACTGGGAAATCTGTCTCAACTCGTGTACATGAACATCAGTTAGTGGTGAAGAGACGCAACCATCTATCTCCGGTGGCCATGCACACACTGGACACCAGACACCAATTTGCAAGGGGGGAACACTCTCATTTTTGGCAACTGCCCAATATGGAAAAGCCGCGAATTCCTGGAAGCAATGCACTCAGATGAGACATGCACCGACCTTCATATCGATCTAGATGCCACATACAAGACCGTTAAGGACGAACACACACCGGCCCAATCAATCCCGAGGAGGTAAAAAACTGCTATTAATACACATTGGCGCAGATTCTAACTAATCATAGAATCCTTTCAGTTTAGAAGTTATTTGTTTTTGCACTCCCATAGTCTGAAGATGCACTGAAGAACCAGTGTCGAAAATTTGCACAAAAAATTTACAGTTTGCCAAAGAATTCCACCCTCCCAATTCAATTTCTTGGGATGCCTGTTTTTCAATGTGTACATATGCATTGTCGTTATCCGACTATGCTAGTGGGTATTAAATCGAGCATGATGCCACAACCCGACATAAATAAAATCCCTGATATCAACCGAAAGATAACGGGGCCGTGGCCCGATGATAAAACATTCACCTAAATTACCAAATATCGCGGGTTCTAGTACTACGATCTGCAACTCTGGGGTTAGGTATGACTGACTAATGACGCACTGTAAGCCGGAAACGGTCACTCCAATTTCTTTTAGTCGGTACTAATTCAAGCATATTTTCATACGCATGGTAGATGAGCGCTCAGCGATCAAGTCACGGGGCATGCTCGGTCCGTTTCGCCCTGAGACCCAGTCTATAGCCCTCTTTAGCATTTGCATGGTGACTAATAATTGACTGAGTGAGACTGAATTCGGTTGGCTGACGATAGCTTGTAAACCGGAAATAATCTTTCCGGTCTTCCTCGTTTTTGTCGATATCTCTATTATCTTCATAGTTGCGGATATTGAAGAGGGGACGATCTTTTATTTCAGAGGCTTTATTTTTTTGACATTTCAAATTCACACTCGACTCCACTTTTAAACGCCTCCGCTTGTAATGAGCATCAGTCGTGCTCTTGATTTGTTTTTCAGATGGTACCAGATCGACATGCCTATCGATCGAGTCGTCGTCTGAATGCTATGTATCCTGCAGATGGCACAAAATACGATCATCCGATTGGTCCAAAACCTCCACGCGGTCGAAATCGAAGTTGGAGTTGGAGAGGATCTACGAGCGACCACCAGAGATGCAGATCGTTTTTCCCTGCCTGACCACAAGCTCTTTTTAATGCCTTCTAGTCTTGACGTTTTTGTCGGATCAGCGACATAACCGACCTTGCTGCAATTACATTCAGTTTGGTAAACAAGGCCAGATTTTGATAGACAGCATGAGGTCGTGTGTTTAAGTGAGCGTAAATCAGTGTTGTCGGCGCCGTTGGTGGGTTTATAGGGCTTTGGTATGCCTTTCACAACGGGAGGGGTGGTCGTTAGGTGCTCTCGTGGGCGCGCGTACACAGTAGCCGTAAGTCGACATGTCTGTTCACTCAGCCCGCAGACGACAGTAAAGTTACATCCTCTGTCATGATCCACGCACTGTTAGCAGAGCATATGGTCAAGGCTGCTTAAAAACCTTCACATCTGTTGAAATTCAAAGTCACGACTATGGTCATCAGCCGAGCGGTCTGTTTTTCCTCACAGCTTATATGCGTGAGGTGGACTGACATGCTTGCTGAATGAGACATTATGTGGTGAAAGCTGCGGCCCATCCATGTGGAGCTAAATCAGTTCATCTGATTAAAAGGGTAACTGATTCTCTTCATTGCCTATACGTATAACCTCGAGGTGAGGAATCGCACCGTCCTCAAAGAATTCGAACATTTCCCGTTTGTGGCGGTGGTAGTGTATAACTGCGTAAACATGCCTTGCTCTTCAAAGTAAATAACGCGAAAAGACGAATGGCTGGTGATGGCGGTAGTAGTCGTGCTCAAAACGCCAAGTAGGGTCTCCGTGTCTTCGCCAAAAGCTCCCTGTCTTTTCCACATAGGAAGATGCTTAGTGGAAAAAATAAGGGTCTCTTCAAATTAATACATGGCTCAAGGAACAAGAACTATGACATCTGAATATCGCATAGAGATACAAAAACCAACGGTTCGAAGGGAGACGTAAAATACACATATAACATGTATGACTTGACATACATGTGAAGATGAACTTGGTCGTAACCTGAAAAGTGCAATTGTTAATTCTGCAGAGATGCGACGCACACTCCTGACGGGGAAGCGTCCTATGGGATACTTAGTCAGTGCATAAGAAATTACTTGAGCCGAAAAAAAAGATGAGCGGCTGTCTAAACGGTCAGAATTAATTAAGTGTGCTCGGGCACACGTTGACCTTTCACATCAAGTCGGACACACGAAGGTTAACAGGCCATTCATTGGTGAAACAGAAAGGTCATTTGTATTAAAATGAAATTTGGTACATGTGTAACACTCCACCCCGTGGTCACGATAACTTGGCTGCTAGAGGCCCCCGGAACTTGGCACCAGCCAATCATCGTCGCTTCCTCAGGCGCACATGCGCGCATGCTCGACGGTCGACGCGACAGTTAGACCGTGGTGGCCGACAACTTGCTCAACAGCTGCGTAGGAGCAGGAACGGCGACTTACGGGTGAATTTGTTTACAGTGGTAGTTGACTTGGGCAGCATCTACGGCACTAATCAGGATTTTAACCAACAACAACAACAACAACAATGAGAAGGGGGCGGCAGTGAGCCCAGTGTGCGCGACGTCAGCCGGCAACTGGACCTGCGGCCACAACCCGAATGCTGACATTCGTTTTGGGTGTACATTCCCGATAACGCCTGCCAGAACCCGCAGTGGGCTAGCGCATCTGCCGCGTAGCCTGTTTTAGGGGATTCGCATGTGGCCGACCATGCCGATTTATGAGGTGAATGTGCGATCGCAATGAGGGCAGGTTGGGACCGTGGTGGTGGTGGCGGTGGCGGTGAACGTACGGTATGTGGGCTAACACATGAAACGTCAACCTAAATTAAAAAAATGCGCTTTCCTGTCGAAAAGACTATTTAAGTAGGGTTGTAAAACTAATCAACCTACAGCATTATTCAGTAATAATTAAATCACCTCAGGATTCCGGCTTTTGAATGAACTTCTTTCCGACTGCATGCAAGAACTATACTCTGCAAAACATGGCTACTTAAGTAGCATGCAATTGTCTCATTGAGTTTCGATGCCCTTAAAGATTCCATTATATTTCATGGAAAACATGCATAAAAATATTCAATCTTTTGCTCATTCAGTAGAAAATCACGTCTCTTTCCAATTTTATACCCGAAGAAAGGGTATAATTCGATTTTATAAAACTTTTCTAATTCCCGAATAAGTTTGAACCCGAACTGCCGTTGCACTCGCATTCAGGGTTCCCAAACTACAAGCCGCATAATTTCTGCGTACGGAAAACCATGCATTTCCCTACCTTATTAAGAGGAGACCATGTGGGGTTCATAAAATTAAGCAGTGGATTTGAGCCACATTGCTAACTTTACAAGCCACATTAGTAAATGCAGAGACATGACGTTTTTATGAAGGGCCATTTCAGGGTATTAAAAAATCTCACAATCAGAAACTTTTTTAAAACCGAATTAAACCCTGTCTTCGAGTATAAAATTGAAAGAAGTCTTAATTTTCTACCGAATGAGCAAAAGAATGAATATTTATATGCATGTTTTCCATGAAATACAATAGAATATTTAAGGGCATCGAAAATCAATGGAAAATGCATGCTTCCTAGGTAGTCCTTTCTTAGGGAGTATGGTTTTTGGATGCAGCCGGAAATAACTTCATTCGAAAGCCGAATTATTATGGAATTATGCTGCATGCTGATTAATTTTACAACCCCTCTTAATGATCCCTTTCGACACGAAAATGCATTTCGGAATTTCGGTTGACATTTCATGAGTTAGCCCACCTACTTTAAGTTCTGACTGTACGTAAACAGGTATTTTCAGCCGCATCAAGAACTCCGGGTGTGTGGCGCAGTTAGGTAGAGCCGAGTTCGAATCACATGGAAGGCGAGTTAACAAGGCCAGTCATAACCGTTAAACACACAAGTTTAGACTGCCAATTCCATCATGGGAGTCCTGCCCCTCTTTACGCCTCTATGCTCCATTCACCTTTCAGATTGCCTACGCGTTGGCAAAACTAACTCCAATAAGTCCGGAGTTTGCATTTGGTCTCTTCATTGCCGGTTGTGCCCCGGGCGGTGGCGCGTCAAACGTGTGGACACGACTTCTGGGCGGCGATCTCGATCTGAGCATCACCATGACGCTGATCAGCTCTCTGGCTGCTCTGGGTATGTTTACTTGAATTGCCCCCCCCACGCCCGAGAGCGCTTACTGATGATTTGTCTTGGCTAAACCCAACATTGGCTTACTGTTTTAGCAGACTTTACAAATACTACTTAAGCTCGCGCCCTCTGAACTAGCTCCTGTGTATCTCACTAACCGCATCCTGGCTTTAACGGGGAATTCGATCGTTTGGTCTGTGGAGGCACCGTCCCTCCTGCGTAACTAATCTTTTCGAAACGAAAACGCATTTCGGAATTTCGGTTGACATTTCATGAGTTAGCTCACCTACTGTAGTAGGTGAGGAGTTGTCGGATGTCGTTGGTGAGATTGGGAGTAGTAGTAGCTCGTAACTGTGGTCGACGCTGGATTTGAGGCAGGGAGGACGGTGTCGGTTATGGAGGGAGACGGGGGCATCGGCAGTGTGATCACCGGTGATGGGGATGGAGGCAGAGATGATAGAAAGGGTGTTCTTTGAAGTAGACGTTTGTGTTTCAGACCCGTTGTTGCGTTACGTCTGAAGGTATCCAACGAGGCCGATTCGAGAGCGGTGACAGTGTGGATTAGGTCGGCTGTTGGTGATGTTGATCCGAGGCGTGGATGACTTACGATCCGCCCTCTTGGCTTTGGCAGCGGTAATTCGAAGACCGCTGTCCAGTCACCACTGGTCTTCTCCAGGACGGCCTGTTCAGGATAAAGTCCTCCCAGGATATTCAGTCATTCCGTGGAGTTTCGCGAAGTGCTCTTATGGCGTCGATTTCGTCCTCGCTGTTTGTGTCGCCCCGGTCAAGCATTTTTTTAGTTGTTTCTTCCCCATTGTACTTCTCATGGGCTGATGTAGCCAGACTGTACGCTCTATCCTCCCAGTCGCCATATTCATCTTGCAGTGAAGGGCATTCCCGAATAAATCTGAAGCCGACCTGCTGTTATACTTGCATTCAGGGTTTCAAAACTACAAACCGTATATTTTCCGTGTACGGAAAACCATACATTTCTCTACGGTATTAAGAGGATACCATATGTGGTTCATAAAATTAAGCAGTGGATTTGAGCCACATTGTTAACTTTACAAGCCACATTGGTAAGTGCAGATACATGACGATTTATGAATGGCCATTGGACGTAATGTCCTATAGAATAAGTAAAAAAATGAATATTTGTATTCACTTTTCCATGAAATATAATTGAATCTTTTAGGGCATCGAAAATCAATGAGAAAATTGCATGCTACTTAAGTAGTCATTTTCTGCCGAGTTTAATTCTTGCATACAGTCGGAAATAGGTTCATTCGAAAGAAGGCGTCCTGGGGTAAGTGGATCATTATAGAATTATGCTGGACAGTGATTACTTTCACACCCATACTTAATTAATCTTTTCGAAACGAGAACGCAATCGAAATTTCGGCCAGCATTTAATGGCTTAGCCCACTTATTGTAATCGGCTTTTACCGGCATTTCTCAGCAGACCAGAGTTTTACTTAAAATATTTCATAGACTTAGTATTCCCCTTTACTGCTGTGCTTTATATTGGGGATCTATGTTCCTGGAAAGGCGATTGCTTTCACTACCGGCCGGATTGGCCACCGATCTTCTGGGTCAAGACGGCGAGGAAATAATTATCAACTGACACCAAAGTTGCTGTTTTCATTCCCCCTATGTCATTTGGCGCCTACAGCTGAGAAACGAGTGACCTTAGTGATCGGGCGGACAATTCAGTTAAGTTTTATTAAAGGTGAGGTAGGCGAACGCCTTTGAACTCCCTATTGGTTGAAATAGCGCTGCACAAAACACCATTGCATAAAGAAAGCTTAAAAGAAGTGTGACGAAATAATTACATGCGACAAGCATGTAACTATCCGGTAGATAATAATATACGTCACTGTCTGCATGATGTCCAAATTGCGAAATCATCGAAACTCGTTACTGAAATTGGCCAGGTAGTATGGGAACGAGTATGTGAACTTCAGTATTCCAGCTGACCAAACCAGGGGCAAGATTAGGGACATCTTCTCTTGCTAGTCACTGCAAAATCGAGCCCCAAACGTAAGGGGTCAGGTTGAGGGAGTGGCCTCTCTTTTGGACTGAAGACATGACCGTTTGCTGGCTGCAAATTCCGGTTGGCATGCCATTGAACATTTCAAGGTAAAGCAAAAACTTTAGGCGCTGGTTTCTTGAGTAGGACTTGTTTAAGGCTCAGAGGCCGACATCCAATCTCTCGCTTGGCCTGACTGTACCGGCAGCTGAACTAGAATCACCCATGAATTACTAGTAGATAACGCGAATCACTCAAACTACGTGTGATCGGCGCCAGGCTGAACACCCAGAAGGTCTTCTTCACCAACACAGTGGTTGAGGCTTGGGATGCTCTGCCTGCGGATATCGTCGTATCCACATCCGTCGAGTCTTTTAGGCGCAAGCTGGATCAGAATGTCACTACATATCATAATTCCACCCAACCAATGACGTCCTAACACTCTGTATTAACGGTTTATTAGTGTTGTAATATTAATGTCTATATTTCCGTAACGTCTGTTATTTTATTTGCTCATTGTCACAAGTCCATTGCCTGCGAATACTAACATTCACTTCGGCTCCTTCAGATGACTGCAACTGAACTAATTTTTCCTAGTACAATTACGCATAGATTGACTACTGTGCAGTGTATTTAGTGGTGTCGGTGTTTACATCACTCAAAATAATTCTCTTATCTTGAAAATTCAAGTTGGCAAACACGTGTTTTCGGTACTTCTTCATCAGGTCAATACAGCTGCACTGAGGAATGAAAATATACAAAATTAACAGTGGTTATAGGTGCCTCAAGGGTTATCTAGTCATTAAATCTCATCTTCCCTACGTCGCCCGCATGAAGAGGTCGGCGGGTTTTGGTCCTCAGGGATAAGCGAGGGGGGTTAATGGGTCTTTGAGTGATGTCTTGGATTGAGTTCACGGAGGACCCATCAATGTAAGTAGGGATTTGGGCGACACGTCGTCATCACTAGAGGTTGGTGTTGGCCACGGTAGAGCGAGCGCATATGTCCACGTTTTCTGACAGCATAGCACTGGATTCGCTAGCAGTATAGTCGCTGACTCGGCCTTTGCTAGCATCCGTTGGCGTAGGCCTTCAGAGAAGCTTGCTGGTGTCCGGCAGACAATCTGAAATGCTTCTTTGGCATCGACTGGGTGATTCGTATCGACTAAATGTGCGATAATAGAACTCGAAATCGGTCGGGTCTCACCTCTGCCTAGCCAGACCGGCATATATTCGCGCATCCTCTTTACAAGGCGTCTCGTACGGCCATTGTATCCCGCTGCATAGGATTAAGTGAATTAGTGAAAGCACATTGATGTGGCCTCCAACGGTAGTCTGTCTTTATTTCCTAAACGTAGGAGGGGAGAGTTTGTGAAGCATTGGCGTAAATTGGCCGCGGGGAATGCTCTACTGATAGCTGTAGTTAAGCGCCGTCTGACTAGTTCGCCCTCTGCGTCTCCTACAAAAGGCAGCCTTATGAATACATCTTTTCTGTCCGTAGTCGCAAAAGTTGGCTTTGCAGTGCGTTCGCCAATATTTCGGAGGATAAGTCTATCTGTACAGTTTCGATAATTCTTCTGTAGCTGTTTAATGCCTCCGTTTTACAAATCTTCGATATACTTCCCTTTCCTGTAACAAATAGGGAGTTCAAAGGTGCAGCACCTACATTTCCTTCAAATAAACTGAGGTCAGAAATCCTCAAGTCTCGCCGACGCCCTTTAAGGGCAGCAAGCAATTCATTCTCCGACAACAATCGACAGACTTCTTAAAGGCATGTCCTCAGTGGTGCTGTAAAGTCGCTGTACAGTGGACTCTGATTAAGTAAATGACCTGTTGATGGTGTTAGCCATTTGGTTGAGTTAGATGCTGAAGAGCAGATACAGAGGACGTACATTAGCGTTAACTTGCTCGATTTACTCCGTCCATTATCTTGCATAATTTGGTCATTGAAGGAACCATGGGTTCACCAAGTCAGAGATGGTCTGTCGGATGCAGGGGTCTGTCTCCCCCGAGCATTAAGAGACCATTTATGTACAGCGCATAAACTTAATCAGGTCAATGGTTAATTGGGTTTCTAACTTACTTGGGCGAACTGTTGCTAAACAGAAAGAAAGCTCATGTAACGGTAGGGGGCGCTCACCGATCGTTCTTTCGGAACTCACTCGTTCCGTTGTGCCTTATGGACTCTCTCTCGAGCCCAACCAGCAGCCGCACAGCGGCGCATGATATAGGCAGAATGATATTATCGACAAAGACAAGGGAGACTGGAATGGCCATTTCTGGCTTATTAGCCGTCGTCAGCCAGCCATACCCAAGCCCGAAGTGTGGAACACCCGAGCCTCGAACTCGCGACCTGTTGGTTTAGAAGTCAACGCCTCTACTCACCGGGCCACGAGCCCGTTGCCTTGTCGGTTTTCGATCGGGAATATACAATGTTAGGGGGCGCTCACCGATCGTTCATACGGAACTCACTCGTTCCGTTGTACCTTACGGGCAAAATAGCATTACCGACAGTGTAACGGGACGAGTGAGTTCCGTAGAAACGATCGGTGAGCGTCCCATACCAATGTATATTTCCGATCGAAACCTACAGGACAAGGAGCCCCCGGGCCCAGTGGATAGAGGCGTGGACTTCTAACTAACAGGTCGCGAGTTCGGGCGCCACGTGTTCCTCACTTCAGGATTGGGTATGACTGGCTGACGACAGCTAATAGGCCAGAAATGGCCATTCCAATCTCCCTTGTCTTTGTCGGTAATGCATTTCTGTTTATTCACTGTCGACGAGGATGTAGAGATCTGGGCAACAGAGTTCAGTTGGAACCGCTGCACTCCTATCTCAGACAGCTGCGAAACCGTGAGATCTTGAAAACCAGACGCACCTTCGCACCCGTAGTTCACCGCGTACCGAACAAAATGGGTGAAGTATCGGTGATCTGTACCTGGCGTTGTTTATATTAAAATGAACTCACGCCATATCTGCCGCTCTCTCTCTGCCATCACGTATCTCTATTCGATGGCCGGACAATGTCGAGGCAACTGGGCACAGTGGCCTGTCTGCGCGCGCCACGTACGTCAACCCAAAATAATGTCGAACGCACCGAGCTATGCAGTCATTTGGCGGTCCTAGATAAGATAAATATTAGCACTCCGTGATTGGTCCAAGCGCGTCGAAAGTACCACTGCGCCAGACGATTTTTCCAGTTTGTTAAGCAACCGATGATGCCATGCATCTGTGAAATAATCCATTGTCCGCAGAAGGAGAGAGGAAGATCATGGGATAATAGGGAAAGAACGCAGTATGTGACCAAACTTTGCATATGACTTATTACTGCCTACTGAATATTGCGAAAGCACTTGTTGTGCTTATTGTTTGATGGCCGACATTCGAGTCGGTAATTGTTGCAATGTCAGCACGTGCGTTGGATGTTGGTGTAATGATTGCTCGACCATCTCATCCACTGACCCTGACGTTGGGAAAAGTGTTCACCTGTGCGCTCCCCACGTGGCTAATTACTCCGCCTAGGTGAAATCTCAGCACCGAGTATGGAAGCGGAAGATCATTGCAGTTGCTACTGCACTGGGAGCCAGTAAACCACGACGCAAGCAGCTCCCGGCTCACGCGGTTGTCACCTCTTGCGAGAATTTCGGTCTCGTCGAATTTGAATTTGTGGCAGGATCTCGCGTCATTTGTCCGCAGCGCTTCAGCGTGTTCGGCCATTCGCGTTCGGAGATGTCTTCCGGTTTCTCCGACGTAGTTGCGATTCCAGACGTTTCTAGCCGTGACAGTGGGTCTTTCGGTTTCATGAACAGACGTCTGATGGTTGCCTCCGGTCTGTGTGCAACTCCAAACCCAGGTGGTGCGAGAAGGCGGCCGACAGCTTCTGCAACGTTCTTGATATACGGAGGCGCTCGCGAAAATTTGGTGTCCCTGCGGTTAGGCCTTTTGTCCCTTTTGCGTATGCACCGGCCGACGAAGTTGCGCGGGTAGCCATTGGCTTTGAAGACCCGTCGGAGGTATTGTAGTTCGGCAATCTTGTCTTCCGGCTCACTGCAGTGCGTTTCGACACGCCGAAAGAGCGTCCTTACACAACTGCGTTTGTGGCTGATTGGGTGGTTACTGTTGAAGTTCAGTACTTGCATCGTATTTGTCGCTTTCCTGAACACTTTGGTCTTTGGTCCACCACAATCCTTGCTGCCCACAAGGACATCCAGGAAGGCCAGCTGGTTGTTCTCTTCCTCCTCCATCGTAAATTGAATGTCCGGGAAGACGGCATTGAGATGTTCTTGGAACGTCAACACCTGATCCCGTTCGACGACGACGAAGGTATCATCCACATACCGGGCCCAGAATTTCGGTCTGTGGTGTTGGAAGACCAGCGACTCTAACCGTTGCAGGACCGCCTCAGCGATGAATCCCGAAATCGGCGAACCCATTGGTGTGCCCTTCACCTGTTCTTAGATTGTCCCGTCGAACGTGAAGTACGTCCTGAGACAGAGCTTCGGGATCTGAAGGACTTGGGCGTGTTCAAGACGATTTTTCGTTTCATCGTATTTGCTTTGTAGAAGCAGCTTGATTGTCTCGATCGTCAGGTCCTGGGGAATAGAAGTAAAAAGGGATGCAACCTCAAAAGATACCATGACCTCATTTAGATGGATGCTTACCCCTTTGAGTTTCTCCAGGAATTGTGCTGACGAAGAGACCGTGGTGTCTGACTCAGCGGTCAGGAACTTGGGACGCCGGAACAGCCACTTAGCCAGTCCATAGGCTGGGGTACCTTTGAGCGACACAGTGGGTCGGAGAGAAGCGCCGTCTTTGTGCACCATAGGGAGGCCATAGAATCGGGCCAAAGCCGTATCTTGGGGTCTCGCCATGCGTCTGTCGGTCGGTGTTATTGCTCCTGAGTTCTCCAAGGCCAACAACGTAGCGTTAATTTCGCGTGTCAGCGCTTTTACAGGGTTCGTTGCACATGGGACATAGACCTGCCGGTCATCCATTTAACCTTCGGCTTTTGAAGGTAGTCTGTTCCGTCCAGTACAACCGTGAAGCGTCCCTTGTCCGTTGGCACAATGACCAGGTCTTTGTCGGCCTTGAGTTCTCTAAGTGCATTACGTTCGACCTTGGAATGCACTTCCCGCGGCCTGTGGGCCATTAGGAGAGACGACACTTGGTGTCGGATGAGGCTCTTGGTCTCTTCCGTTGCGTCCGTCTGAATAATGATTGATTCTACCGTTGCAATCATGTTAACAGGTTTGGCGTCAGTCGTGTTGAATGAAGTTTCGTACCGTAAAACCTGCATCTGATCCTTCGTCAGCTCCTTTAACGAGAGGTTGTGCACAAGTTTGTCGTTTCTGGGCGACGTTGGATTGGACAGCTTTCGGAATTTGTTCTCCAGTGCTGTGTCGCGTATCATTCTCTGTTCGCGGGCTTGTTCAGCTATCCTCCGCAGGAGCAGATTTGTACCGATCTCGCCCATGAACTCACAGCATCTGGCCTTTTCTTGGTCAATCCTTTGACGGTACTTGCGAAGTCTGGCGTGGCAATCTTGGAGGAACACTCGGATCATCCTTCTGCCATGTTGAAATACTGTTCATCTCGCCAACTCTGTGTTAACCGGGGGCTTGTATGAAACACAATTCGGTAACACATTATGGTCGAGACTCCTGTGCAGGAACTGGATCTGCGAATACGTGGAGGCCTCCCGAAGGACAAGGATTTTCCATCGCCGGGCCGATCGGAGCACATTGCGCCCAAATACATTGCCAATAGTAGCGAAGAGACGAGTCCCAGGAAGCAGTCTTGAAGAAGAAGAAGAAGAAGAAGAAGAAGAAGAAGACACGATCGCCGGGACAAGAGCTTTATTAGCCTGACGTTTCGGATTCCTGCTCGAATCCATCATCAGAGACATTATTCTCTATGGCATACTTTGCCTTTGCTGACAACTTTGGCGGCTTCCCTGTGTTCCACTGCTCTGCATCACTATGTCGTGCTATTGGGTCAACGATCCCACTTTACTCTTATGGGGTTCGCCAACGTCATTCGTCCTTGGGTTTCTATTGGTTATTTCACCGCCTTGATCTCCGAACTTGGCGTCCTAGTTTTCAGGCACTATGTTTAGCTTCCTTTGGTTTTTTGGTATCGGAATTCGCTAGCATTCGATTTTCCGGGTCACTTCCAAGGTCATGCACGGATTTATTTGAACCTATTCACGGAATTAGAACATTTTTCAAAAACTTCATCCTTTTTCACCGCTCTCTTTCCTAGCCATTAGCCCCACCCATATAACCCCTACTGTTACCGGTCCCATAAGTCACGATGACATCTCCTCCGCATCCTGGATGTGATCGCCAAATACAGGTCTTCTCCTTCCAAATTTCGTGTAGATGGTTGAGTGCAAGACAGTCGAGTTTCATAATGGAGGTCTGTGATGATCAGTGGTCATGAAAACATCTCCTAACAAAATCACTGTTATATTAAATCATCAGAGTCCAAACAACAAGGTATAGGCGACTTCCGTTACGTGGTTACGAGAGTGTCAGACCAGCGTGCACCTAATCCAAAGTTGTTTTACACGTCTAGTAAACAGATATGAACCTTAGCTTAACATATGACGTTTGTACCTTCCGGCCAACGATCTGTAGCCGTAATTTACTACAAATGGCCTGCGACAGAAAACTTGACAGAAGCCATCCGTCCGCAGGTCCGCATAATCTGCAGTTCATGACTGGGTGCAGTCGCGGATCTGGTCACCAACCAGATCGTTATTCCCTACAGCAGTTACGAATGTGGCTTGTAAAGTTAGCAATATGGCTCTAATCTACTACCACATTTTATGAACCCCATATGGACTCCTCTTAATACCGTAGAGAAATGTGTGGTTTTCCGTACGCGGAAAATACACGGCTTGTAGTTTGAAAACCCTGAATTCAAGCGTAACGACATGTCGAGTTCAAAATTATTCTGGAATCGGAAAAGTTTTAAAAAACCGAATTATACTCTTCCTTCGAGCACAAAATTGAACGACAAAGTAGTTTTCTATCGAATAAGCAGAAGAGTAAGTATTTTTATTCATGTTTTCTCTGAAATATAATTGAATTTTTAAGGGGATCGAAAATTAATGCGAAAAATCCATGCTAATTAAGTAGTCATTTTTCGCGAATTGTGGTCTTTGCATGCAACCGAAAAGAAGTTCATTCGAAAGCCGGCATCCTGAGGTAACTGAAATATAATGAACTTATGTTGCAGACTGTCCAGTTTTACAACCCTACTTAATTAATCTTTTCGAAACGAAAACGCATTCCTCCCCTCAACCGCCTTAAGTCGGTGACCAGACGACGTCAACACAACGGGAGGTGGGTTTGGACACAGTAGCTGATAAGTCCGAACAGCCTGTCTGCGATTGCCACACACGACCCGACCTCCACTATATGTGCTTAGCTTCCGCAATAGCGGCTCGAAACATAACCTTCGAAACATGCGCTTGTTACGTTTTCACGGACAAGGCGTTCTCTTGTGATTTTCCCGCATAATATCTGGTCTTATCGTAGGCGTGACTCATAAGAACGAGATGCCTGGCATCCAGAGACATGTGTCAAACAGTCTAATTTCTAAAGATCTGCGGGTATCGAGGCGCCTGGTAACGGGTTTCAGAAAACTTGATTGACCTGACACAAGCACCGAAGACCAATCAGCGAATTCCGCGACTATGTTGCGTAAATCATGCTAACACACATGTCCAACCGATTGCTACTCGAAAGCCAGGGCGCCATGACGTATGAGGTAACCTGCGATTGTGCAGCATGCCTAGTAAACAGACTGATATTCTAAGGGAACATTCGACACATGTACTTTAGTCCTCTGCATGCTACCATAAATTAACAATTTTCACAACTTGTTTACTACAAAGAACGGACAGTATATTAGGCCAGACGTGGAATCAGCACCAAGAATGGGAGACACTGTCATGGACGACTACCAGAAGACATCCGCTGCCTGCGCATTTATCCGAGGTCATACAGCCATCTGTCCGCAGGTGGGCATAATCTGCGGTTCAGGACTGGGCAATATCGTTGATCTGCTCGCCAATCAGATCGTCATCCCCTACAGCAAGATTCCTGGATTCCCCACCTGCACCGGTAAGTATCTCATCGCATGGCTTCATGCAACTAACCTCGTCTCACACAGTGCTCGGCCATGAGGGGAAGTTCGTGTTCGGCGAGCTGGGAGGTAAATCGGTGGTGGTCATGCAGGGACGCTTCCACCCCTACGAGGGCTACAGCCATCGAATGGTAGGCAACAGCTCCACCCCTCCCCGGATATCCTTCCTTCTCCCTCCCTCCGCCCTCCCGCTCTCTCTACCTCTCTCTCCACGAAACCTTTTAGATTGCTCTGCCAATTCGAGTGATGAAGATGCTGGGCGCGACATACCTCTTTGTCACCAACGCTGCCGGTGGCATGAACCGCACCTACAAACCGGGCGACATGGTTGTGATCCAGGATCATGTGGATTTCTCCAGTGTAGTCGGCCTGAACCCCCTCACGGGGCCCAATGATGAACGGTAGGGTGGAATTACTGTCTAACCGGGCTGTCTGGCAGGTTTGGACCCCGATTTCCCGCTCTCACTGGCATGTATGACGCGGGGTTGAGGGAGCTGGCTCAGCGTTGTGGGCGCGAACTCGGTCTGGGGGACTGTCTCCACGAGGGCATTTACTTTCACGCTGCAGGACCAGTCTACGAGACGCCGGCGACCAATCGCATACTCCTCAGTCTCGGCTGCGACGCCGTAGGTGAGTGTTGTGTGTGTGTGTGTGTCCTCTGAACGGGCCACGTGTTAGATGCGCTGGACCAAAACGGGGGCCATATCGGAATCTGGCAGGCGTTATCTGTGCGCAATAACAAATGCCAACACTTGCGGGGTGCGCTGGCGGACCCTGTTGTCGGCATTCGTCGCTCAACTGGACCACTGCCTCCACCCCATTATTTTGTGGTCAAAATCCTGGTCATTGGTGTGTGGACCAGGGGGTGCGGAGTGGAGCGCCAAGGCGAGGATCCGTCCGAGCCATCCACCTGCGGCCTCCCCCGTCTCCGGTCTTCTTGACTCTGTCTTGACACCGGGCCCAGGCGCGGGAGGAGGAGAGAGTGTAGGTAGATGCAGCGCAAGTCTACTGGCACTATAAACCCCTGCGCAAGTCACCGTCCCTGCTCCCACAATGCAGTCTGTGGGGCACACGGTGGTCATCGTCGAAATCGACGGACGAACTGTCGTGTGTGTGTGTGTGTGTGTCTGTGTGTGTGCAAAACGAAAATGCTCCTAACTGCTTGTTGTTTATGACTCGTTATGTCAAGTTTTTATCTGCCTATCTTTATGCAGTTTCGTAGTTGGTTTATACAGTACGTGATCTATCTCATGAAACCTAGTGATGCGAGAATTTAGTATGTCTTAAATGTTGCGCATTTTGCTTGGCCCAGTTTAGGAAGTGTCCTCGTCTCGTACACAAATTGTGTCCACGTAATTTTTTTAAGCAAAATGTTCATAAATTTGAGCGAAAACGGACGTCAAGTATACTTGGACAATTTCCTATGTCAATACTTGTTCTGGGCCTCGGCTGCCCATTTGAGCGGGTTTTTCTTTGGAAGGAAAGTGTTTTAATAAGCATAGGTTGCCGGACTTGGAAATTAATTTTTTGTCCGATGGTAAGTGTGGCAATCAACTTCCTAACACAAAGTTCATTTTAAGAGAACCAGATGTTTTGTAGATTTATAGAAGTCAGATTAGCAGATCAGTGCGATTTCGTGCCCTAAAGGGCAGTAATAACTCATACAAGCAATCCTTCGTTTAAATGGGCTAAAATTGTTTTGCCGTTTGGAAAATCCTACGTATTGTCACAGGAGCAACCATAACAGAACTGTCATTTCCAGCTTTAAACATACGAAATATAACCTTTTGTGCAGTCTAGCTTCTGCACATACCTAATCTTAAAATAGAACGCACAAAACGCTGAATTCTTCAGCAAAATATCGGTATACATACAGCTACTCTGCCGTGCATTCATAATCGTAGAACGGAGTATGAAGTTGAGCAAAACCAATTCAAATGGCCGCAATATAAAGAAAAAGGCATGTTCTTACGTTGGCGATTGAAAAATATCAGTATCATTAAGCAGAGTGAAAGAAACGGCCGAAAGTGTCAAACTTGTTCTTGGCCTCACTCTGTAAAATTTAAAGTACTCAGATATCCGTCAACGGAATGCAGTATCAAAGCACTCCTTGAGGAGGTCATTTATTGGAGAAAGTTTTCTGATTGATCTTAGGCATATTCGTTGTTGACTTTCGTCGTGGGCGTCAGTTTTATTCGACGATGAGGGCTCCTGTTTTCGTGAATCTTTAAATGTGATCCAGATGAAAAAGAAAGCCCGAGCGCTCGATACTTCGGTAAATACCGCCAAGAAGTCCTTATGGGCGATCGAATGAAAACACTGAAAATCGTGAAATATTCGCACATAATTCAGGACCGACCTGAAACTCAGCGTAATCCTAAACAAACGAAAAGTGCAAATTAATTTATCCAAAGAAAAGCTCCTATTATAAACACACAATGGTATATATATACGATTACGCCTGTCAATTATATTTAAATTTATTTGTCGCCGATCGGTCTGCCAGCATGTGACCTTTGTTTCTACGACGTCCCTATCAGCGAAATCAGGCAAAATCCTGCTTTGCTTATTGAGCCGCATCTCAGTCCATTCAAAAGAGTCAAGAATATCGGGAATCCCCGGAAACTGTCTTGGAATCTATACTCAGACTGTAGACTGTTGGCTAATCGCCATACCTGAAATTACACTAATTCTTATGGGATATTTAAATGTTGACTGCATTAAACACAAAATTTAACTGTTATTCTACTTGCGCTTTCATATTCACTAATTTTTTAATTGGCAGACTTTTCGCAAATTTAAAAATGAAGGTTACTAAACCGCAACCATTTTCGACGTTTTCGGGATTTCACGTCTTTTTTAAAAAATTGGAATTTCTAAATAACGCAACATTGCTCTTATTAGTTATTTTGTGTTTTTAATTCTCTTAAGGTTGCGATTCATTAACATAGATACCGGGTCCACGGATTGGTGTCGGTTTGCGAGTGATTAGCAATCATTCGTAAATTTCGACTTATTTCATGAGTTAGAATCAATTCTCAACATAAAAGGGAGCTAAGATCTGGACCAGAAATCCGGCTTTGAGCTTTTCCTGTCCATGTTGACCTGAGTGGCCGCTGTTTACTTGTCCTGTATTAGATAGACTTAATCTACTCCTAAAATTAAGGGGGGGGGGCAATTTAAGATAGACAGTTAGGCCAATTTTAACTCTAAGGATTTGATATAGGTGCTATTTTTTGATTTCCGCTGACAAGTCAAATATCTGTGTGAGTACGGTTATGACGGTGTGATGAATAAAGGACTCATAGTTGAGGTGGACAGTTTCTAGGACAAGTATCACACATTTTTGTTAGAGATTTCACTACTGAGGACAGTAGGCCCTGTGGTTATGCACTTTGGCTTGGCGTAGCATCGTTGGGCAGTCACCCTCCAACCTCAGACAGAGCTGATCTGGGAGGCGATCTAGTGCTCAGGGAACGACCAGCTTGCCGCTGGAGCTGTCGAACGCGAGGCTCCGGCTTGCACAAATCAGTATTTACATCTCGCATATCCCAACACCCATTTTAGCACTGTAAAAGTCCATTAGGCATACTTGAGTAAGTGTTCTGTATTCAATTCTTCACTCGTGTTATCTAACTGCCACTCTGTGGATGAGATCGAAACAACTTATTCAGCAAGTCTTAATTAACAACAATGTTTGCTGTTTGCTATATCAATTTGCTGCCGACACTTTTTCATCCACATGTTTAATAACGCGTGCAAAAGGAATTGGCTTTTTAAACTCACATAATGAGATGTCAGTATTCTATGCATGCATCGTGGATTTTGTTAATGCACCGTGTGAATAGAACCCGCCGGCGTAATCCGAGTCTGATTAGGATCCTTTCAGGTGATTTTCGCATTTGTATGAAATTCGTCAGGGTTTCCGCCACGTGTTAAAGTCAAAGACGACTTCAAGTCAACCCAAATAAGAACCACTTGAAGTGTTGTGTATGATAGCGGAACTTTGTTTGTTAAATCGGGCTGTCTGTGTTACTGACAGCAATTACTAGCAGAATGGAAATGTGGAGTGGAGCCTCAAGGCGCGGGCTCGGCCGTGTCATCCACCTGCGCCCATCCCCCGCCTCCGGCCTTCTTGACTATGTCTTTACACCGGGCCCAGGTGGGGGAGGAGAGAGAGCGATAGATGCTGTGTAAGTCTACATTCACTATAAATTTGTTCACGCACAAGTCGCCGTCCCTACTTCCCCCTGCTGCGGAGCGCACGCTGGGCGACGTTGACAACGATGGTCGAACTATCACTGAGTGTGAGAAGCAATATACACCTGTTTCAACTTCTACCTAACTCGGCCGATTTCTTCACAGTAGCACTTCTTTTTAACCTCCTGTAGGAACCCCACTCAGTAAAAATGACTACTTAAGTAGCATGCAATTTTGCGTTCATATTCGATGTTTTTATGACTTCAACCGTATTTTATAGGGAAAATGCACAAAATTATGCCTCCTCTTACTCTTTTGGTAAAAAATGACACTGTTCCCACATCTTGTGCTCGTAAAAAGAATATCTCTCCGTTGTTTAGTAAGGCGAATTAGTATCTGTTGTTTCACCAATATCTGTGTGCGATTTTTGGTTGAATGCTAACCATATGTCAGGAATTTTAGCGTCTTCTGTTCAGACCAGCTGATTTTACTCATTAGCTGTTCTGATTCCTTATGAAATTCTTCGGGGTAATGGCCTCAGAGTAACCAGAACGAGACAGACGAGGCGAGGTGACGACGGTATCACACAAGACCTCAAAAACGCAAGCTTGGCCTCAAACAAAGATACAACTTGGACTTGTCCATAAGGCTGATTAACGTGCACTGTTAAATGCTGATTTTAAGTGGTTGTTTGACATTTACCAATACAAATAATCTTGGGGAAAAATCAACTTGCAAAGGGGGTGTATTTTTCTCCTTTTTACGCTGATTTGTTATGACGAGGCATCCTTACTTTCGATATGGAAAAAAATTTCAGTCTTGCTGTCTTTTAAATTTTTTCCAGGGATGAGTACAACTCAGGAGACCATCGTTGCCAGACATATGGGTATGAAGATTTTTGCGATTTCAATAATAACGGACATCGATCCTGTGGATAAGCAGTCAGACATTGTCTTAACTCACGAGGAGGTACTGGAAGTGGCCAATCAGCGAGGACCTGTTTTGGCACAGCTGCTGGAGAAGATGTTGACTTATTTGTAGAGGGAACACTGCTTCGAAACAGCTTCAAAACAAACGCTTTTACATCACACCAGCGGAAAGTCTCTAGAGAATTGGTCTTTACACCCGATGATTCAGAACTTTGAATAAATCCCTTTTCCTCTAACTGGCTTACCCCTGATTATTTCCCTAAAACCACACAATGATTTGTGGAAACTTAATTACCGCTACATACTCATCTGACCCAGTATTGACAATGACTGGAGCTATTGCAACTGCGTAAATTAGCGTAAAATAGTTCACCCAGGTCCAATTGACAGCCAACCTGTCGGTTACGACGATGTACACCGTATGTCCCACATTACGGTGGGCGAATTGATTGCGAAGGAATTGGCTAGTAGTGACAGTAGATTTGTCCTGCATTTAACGCGTTCTATCCTCCTCGCTTGTCTAAGGCTGGTGTCGCGAAAGAGTCAAGAAGGCCGGGGGCGGGAGTGGGCGCATGTGGCTGGCGTTGCTTGAGCCCGCGACTAGGCGTGCCGTTGCATTCTATTTATGGTGTCTGCTAAGAGTACGCAACCCAGACCTGATCTCCATGTTGTTCCGGCGCAACTCTCCCGTGGCCCAATGAAGGAGCATGCGCAGATCCATTTAACCAATAAGGCCTCATAGGAGCTCTGTAGTAATAAGAAAACTTATGTTAAGGACACCAGAGGGATGGTTTCCGGCCTAACTGCCGTCATCAGCCAGTCGGTCGAGGAACCATCCACAAACCATTGCACGGAATACCTATCACTCAAAGACCGGCAGTCTTGGCATTGAGCACTGAATCCACTAGTTTTCACTTGGATAACCTACCCTCCTCCGGTCGGTTTATGCTGCATTTGTTTGAAGATATATGAGAACGACATCAAGCGTCTTATGCTGATGAATAAATTCGCATCACTATGTGAGTGCGATCGCGAGTGAGAGTTGTGGGCCGAAGTTCCAAGTCAGGCCCCAATGTCTGCAGTTGTTAGACATGGTTACCGCGCATATCGGCTGAAGCATAACGCTCTGTCAGGAGGTCAGTGGTTTGATATGCGGCTTGCTGGGCTAAAGCTCTTTTGATGTGAGATGACCAAGTTCGCCCATTTTGTTGGGCTGCGCATCGTTAGGTAACAAGGGTTCGCATAGATCAACGATCTTGTTAAATAGTAATTTGCATCTGATATTATTTCTCCTCGGACTTGATCAAAGGCATGCTGACTTATACTTGAGATAGAAGCATTAAGAATGCATACTGCGCATACCAAATCAAATCAGTGTAAAGTACGTGATCTATCTGATGAAATCTGACAACAGAAACTGATGGGAGAATTTCCTGACGTCTTGAACGTTGCGCATTTTGTTCGCGGAAATTGTGTTTGCGTAATTATATCAAATAAAACTCAGTCAATTTTCCTAGTCCACACCATGACCAAGACCTTGTAGCACCTGAAATGTCAGTGTAAGGTAACGCCTGCCTTGTCTATAATGGAAGGGGTAGAGGTTTAAGGCGGTTATGTGCTGTTCATAATCAAATTACTGAATTCAAAAACAAGCTTCGTAGCACGCCGTCGTAGAATTTCAACAATATCTACTTTAACTATCCTAAGCCGCGGCCTTCAAGCCCGTGCCGCATATATCAGGTGTGGTCGCACAAATGTTTCGTACACCCTACCGAAGATATCTGCGTTTAGTTTAGCGACACAATGATGACGGAGGAAAAGCTAGATATGAATACTTTACTACAGTAGGGGGCGCTCACCGATCGTTCATACGGAACTCACCCATTCTGTTGTGCCTTAAGGGTTCTCTCTCGAGCCCAACCAGCAGCCGCACAGCAGCGCATGATGTATAGGCAGAATGGCATTACCGACAAAGACGGGGGAGACTGGAATGGCCATTTCTGGCTTATAAGCCGTCGTCACAACGGAATGCGTGAGTTCCCAATGAACGATCGGTGAGCGCCCCCTACCATTGCATATTCCCGATCGAAAACCGACAGGGCAACGGGCTCGTGGCTCAGTGGTTAGAGGCGTGGACTTCTAACTAACAGGTCGCGAGTTTGAGCCTCGGGTGTTCCCACTTCGGGCTTGGGTATGACCGGCTGACGACGGCCAATAAGCCAGAAATGGCCATTCCAGTCTCCCTTGTCTTTCTGCCTATACATCATGCGCCGCTGTGCGGCTGCTGGTTGGGCTCGAGAGAGAGCCTTTAAGGCACAACGGAATGAGCGAGTTCCCTATTAACGTTTGGTGAGCGCCCCTTACTATTTTATATTCCCGAATGCTTTACAGCATAACGTGAATCTGGCTCTGGATGGCGACTGCCTCCCTTTCTGGAGGTTCTACTTAATCGAATGCCGGGTCGAACAATTCGTCGAAGCTCATTTCGCAACAAACATAAACTGGGCAATGCACAAATTTCTGCAGTTTTGTCCCGCTACACCAGAAAAGAAGCTTCGTCAGCTGTCTCACACATCAAGCTGACAGAATATGCACTCCAGATACGTTTGAGAATAAACTCGCCATCATACAAACCAAATATATGGAAGAGCGTACTACTGAGAACAACGTAAAAAATCGTACAACTGACTGATTTTCGAGCTTCAAGTTCTTATAAAAGAAGCAACTTGAATAGGCCCTTTTCAAAGTATTTACGTTGTTAGTAAACATTCCAAAGCCGAATGACAAGAAAATGTGTGATTGGGACATGCCACCTTCAAACAATTCGGCAGGCTCAGGGGGTCCCTTTGGACTTTGTCGGAATTAAAAAACGCTCTACTTATATATATTAAGTAGTAAACCAGGACCATATATAACAAATGCCTCTCAATAAGAAGGGTAAGCGGTGCTCCATCTATTGGCGAGTCCGTTACTCTCCAGTCGGAAATGTGAAGCCTGTATTTTTACACTCCCTTTTCGCAGGGAACTAGGCTACAAAAGGCGGACTGTTAAGTGAATGGCAAAACGATTGCACAACCCAGGCGCGAGCCCGTAAACCAAAAATTAAAACTGCAGTCTCACAAGGTTCGTGATAAAAGCGTTTTTCAAGATGAAATACGTTTACAAGGATAGGGTGTACGGCCGGTGTAAATTCGTTATCCAGTACTGTCTACTATATTTAAATTAGTAGGCGTTGTTCGGTGCAGTTTCCGCTCAGATGTCAGTCACGCCCTAGTTCGAGTTGAGAGAGGCTTGTACGGACACTTTATATTATCAAAAATTCTGGTCGGACGCCAGCGCTGTACACATTTTGGGAGGTCCTTTCTTTCAGAAGCGCTTTAATCGCCTGTTTGAAGATATATGAGAACGACATCTAGCGACTTATGCTGATGAATAAATTCGCATCACTATATGAGTGCGATCGCTAGTGAGAGTTGTGGGCCGACGTTCCAAGCCAAACATTCCCATAACCACTCCAAAACCACTCCATAAATTATGTTCGCAGTATGTCTTCTAGTTACCTTGAGTACCTGTTTCAGATGCGATCAGTGCTTTCGAAATTTGATTGTTTTTATTATATAAAAAAATGTAGTGGTGAAATAAAGAACTGCTCCAGCTTAGTATTAATTCAGTCCCCATAAACTTTTCTAAACCCGGCGATTTTGGTTTCTGCGAAATGGCCAAATGTTATGTTGAAGATGACGAAGTTGTGACGCGAAGATTCAGTATCCAATTGCAAATGAAAACGTCGATCAACCAACCCTTATCGACCAGGTCCAAAGCCGCCTTTAGAGGACTGGAAAGGATCGTGAGAATGACTGTGTCAGGGGAGACTTCCGCTGCATCCAATTCACTCGCTCTTACCATACACACACACGCACAGAGCAAGCGACAAAGTCATAAATGATTGGAAAGAGGTGTGGGCATTGTGGCCGATACGTGAGACTCCGACGAACGGGCGACCGACGCACGACGTACTGGTCTCTATGAAAACCGAACTGGATTTAAGTTCACGGGAGTGACTAAGCCCAAACAAAAGACCTACATGAGCTCAGAGGTGTCTGTGGAATTCGCAAGACGGTCGGGGTTGTCATGCTTGATCTCGCAAACAGTGGTGCAGTAGAGAACAATCAGTAATGACGGAGTACTCCCATAACAGTATGACGCAGTCTCTTCAACCTAGGGGAGGTAGGCATTGCGCCTCATCAATGCTGTCCAGCGAGTTCGTAGGGATCAGATCCAGACAGTTTGACTGTTGAGCTTCGCGCACCCTCGTCGGAAACGAGACGTGCTGAGTGAGAAATAATCTGAGCGTCATGTCCAGCAAACGTCGGTCCATGTCTCAAATCTGAAATAAACGTTACTTGAGTCTACATAACGCTCTTCTATGGTTGTAGGCACTGGAGAGCTCGATAAAACTGCAAACCTAATTATCATGCGCCACTTCCACCATAAACCTCGAGTGGGTTTTCACTCTACACCCATCCTTGCAATGAATGCCTCCCCAGCGTCCTGATTAAGAGGGTCCGTATTTTTTTCTGTTACAGTCAATTTCATCTGGAAATAACACCGTCCCAGAAAGATTCCAGTCAAAACCCTGCAACATTGGAGACTTGTGTTGGCAACCATTAACGGGTAGCACAGCATACGATTAAGATGACAGCGCTGAAGAGGAAACGCACGTGGCCTTCAGTGATTAGCTGGCTCTTGTTTTTAGGAGTGTAGGCACGCCCGATAGGCGCCCACTGCAATCATTTCGAGGGAAAAAATCGGTGATTTACTGGGTATATCTTGAAATTATTCATGAAAATGAAAGAATAGGCAGCAGAAAGCATATACCTGAGAGGGCAAAAACGCGACAAATTCACGTTTTGATGAAAGAAATGCATTTCAGCTCGGATATGACGGGATAAAAAGCGTTCTCTCCATTCCCTTGCGCGATTCCACTAATAAAATCCTAATCTACTCGTAATACCATCGATATCTACAGCGAGCTGAAGATTCCACATGAGTCAGCATTAACTATTCAAGTTGGTTCATGTTTCTGTCAGCAATATACATATCTCACGTCTCTCTAGTGAGATTAATTTCACAGATGACTGGCTTTAGACCGCAGTGCGGTGCAGAAGGACATACCATCATCCGCCCAGTAAGTAGGCCATCCCACTCAACGCTACTCCCCGACGAAAATCAATCTGCTGACAGTCTGCAATTCCATGACAGTCCGACCTTCAAGTTTCGACTTTGCCCACAAAAATGTGGACGCGGGGAGTTCGTTTTTGCGCGCAGATTGGTCCACGAAGTTTGTAGACTTGCGCCGCATCTGTCTCACACCGACGTCGTATCTCGTCTAAACCTGGCGGGAGAGGACGCTAATATCTGTATCACATCTAATTGTCCTTCAAAATGGATATTTTGCGAAATTGAATTTTTAACCACTTTCAGCTCTGCCGTTGCCAAGTGGTGTTAGTGCACGCAAATGTCTCACATTGAACCAGGCAACACGAACAGAGTATTTATTTTTATATGCTGATGATGTCGAGGTTAGTCAAGTATGATTACTTGTCGTCAACCAACCCTCCGAAAACTCGGGTTTGCCGCGTCTGAGCCTCAAACACGCATTCTACTACTTATCCGCAGTCGTCTTCTCTATAGACATAAACGTACTATCTATTGAATGATGTACACTAATCCGGTACCGATCACACGGAAAAAGTCGAATTTTCGTCAGTAATTGGTCGTTAAGTAGCGCAGCGTTCCGGTATTGAGTCACAGGTTAGTTAACTTATTTATGCATATGTTAAAAACAGTTGATGTGCAAATCGCTGTATGCATTTCATAGGTTTACATGCAACCGACATTGACAAAATTTATTATATTTCACAAATTTACAGATACCTATTTTTACGAGAGAAGGGTCACAGTCCTACTGACGGACTACACTAGAAACATGACAAAGGAATGCACTCTCAAATTTGCCGTAAGCTGTTGTGATTAGAATTTCGCCACTAGAAGGCAAATCCCCGTTAAAGGTATTTCGCGTGGCATTCAACGGTGCGACAATGGCATTCTTACTATTCCTCCTTTCATTCATTGCAATTGAAGTCACTCTCTGAAATGCAATTTCAGCGGAGCACAGTAAAATTGCTTTCTATTTCTACAGATCTTCCAAATGCCACATTCGACAAGGGCAAAATAATAGCACTTAGTGCTACAATAATATGCCCTCCAGAACACGACGATTTGAGAGTACTCGTTCCACACAACTAATTCCAAATTTACGACAAAAAGTTGGAAAGTGAGAATGGATTAATATCAAACAGAGATATGCCCTTCAATTTACTGGATGAAGGCTGATGCATGAGTTCAGTGTTTTACTACCGAATGGCCGGCGTTTTCCAGACCGAAGCATATGAAGACAGGGAAGATGTAATTTCTAAGGCGGTAGTCATGGAATGCTACTTCATCGGATCTCGTTTCGTATCTTTACCTGCATTTGACAGGCCCCAACCTAAGCCCAACCTCCTACCCTCAACCATTACCCCTAATCACAACCCTTCAACCCTGACCCTAACCCTAATCCCTAACATTAACCCTTAACCCTAGCCCGTAATCTCACCCCATAACCCTAAACCCTAATCCTAACCGTGTAAAGGTACGCCTTCGAAGTAATATCTTACCTGCTACTTATTATAGTACATACATTGAAATCAGTAATATGTTTACTTGGACGTCGGTCCAAAAAAATAAAAATATCTTGCGGATGAATGACAGATTTCGAGCCACGGCGACTTGTCACCGGAAAAAGCTGATTCCCAGTTTATGGTGTTTAGTTCAGCTTTCATCTGGGCACCTCTGTCCAAATAAGTGCTGAGTGACTCAAATACGTAGTCAAGGTTGGAATAAAACAACCTCAGGTATTAAGGAATGTTGAGACTCGGTCCCTCGGGAAGGGCTTTACCTCAACAAAACCCGCTCGCTCTCAGCATAGACCCTGTGCATTATCATCCTGGGGGGGATACCGTCATCCGGGACCATTATTCGGAGTCATTTGAATGATCCCAGGCACGACGACTCGTGCGTGAATTAGTTTATAGTTGTGGTAGACTTGCGCAACATCTACCACACTCTCCCCCTCCCCTCTCCACCCTCGCTCTGCTGACGTCGGTGTCGAGAGGAAGTCAAGAAAGTCGGGTGTTCTACACTTCGGGGTTGGGTATGATTGGCTGACGACGGCTTATAAGCCAGAAATGGCCATTCCAGTGTCCCTTGTCTTTGTCGGTAATGCCATTCTGCCCATGTATCATGCGCCGCTGTGCGGCTGTTGGTTGGGCTCGAGAGAGAGCCCATAAGGCACGGCGGAACGAGTGACTTCCTTAAGAACAAGCGGCGAGCGCCCCCTAACCTAGCAGATTCCTTCCCAAACGTAGGCAGTTTGCACATTTTGATAACACTGGTTGTCTTATTCCTCGCCTCAGTCTTCTTTACAATGATGCACGGATAACCTCATTGGTGGAAATAATGCAATGAAAAATGTGTACGGTCATGAAAGCGGAGTTTGCAATTTAAGAGCTTTTTACCACGTAAATAAATGCGAGGGAAGGCAAGATAGCTGGGAAAAGCTGTTACCGACCTGCTACTGCATTTTAGGCTCTGTTCCATACTGAAATATCGCGCTCTCTTTGTCTGTCTGTCTGTCTGGAAACCCGATTTAACAAAACATAAGCTGATTTAAAAGGAATACAATCTGGATACTTCTAGTGATAAAACGAAGTCTCCTTTTCATTTGAAGGCTTCATTAAAATAATTATTCTCCTTTTCTACTTAGCATCTGGAAAAGCAAACAGAGAATGAACGCCTCAAAAGCGATCGAACGTGTCTGGCTGCATGCCTTCTCCAAAATGCAGAACGCAATAAATACAAGAACATGGTGCCATGTGAGTCGAGAAAAGATTCCTTCAAATGAATCCTCATTGAACGTATTTTAAGGTAAGGGACCGGGATGTAAGATGTTTTCTAAACAAAATTTTAAAACGACAGTATTTGGTGGATTTTAATGGACCATAGCATGACTATTAATCGATACTGAAATGGCAAGTGGAACGCAAACGTCAGGCTGGTGATAGTCGCCATGGTTTCGGACTTCAGACTGATGGAATCACCTCCTGCTTACCCAACACCGTGTTTTGTTCACTGATAATTTATGCGAATGATTACAAAAAATGTGGAAATCCTCGGACGGCATATTTTGGCGCACGTCAGTCTCATGTTGCCAGCCAACCAATCCCTAACTTGGTAACGGTTGGCCATGTCTCGCTTTGCCAGCAAGTGACTGAGCCTTGGAGAGATAGGGGGGCATTCATCGTCACGATAAATCTGCATATTCGCCACAAAGTAAATAAGACGCGCTTCAACCAATCACAATGCTCTACGAGTCGTGAGCTGGAGGGTTGCCAACTGGCGGGATAGGCCAGTCCATCATGAAACTGACGATCCTGCCGCACGGTACCTACATAATGCGGCCTGTATGGCATTCTTTTCTACGTAAGATTCGAGTCACCACTACTGTGGCTCCGATCGAACAGAAGCTCGTGTGTGGTACGCGTAGACGGGATAAGAAGCCCTGTCAGACACTGCTTCCCGGATCATGTTCAGTACTCCCAAACTTGCCTTATCGTCAGAACAAGGTGGATGGGGAAGGAGGGGTGAGGTACAGTGCGTGACCGATCTCATGAAATGTTGGCCAAAATTCTGCAATCCGTTTCTAATTAGGAAGGATCACTTAAGTGGGGTTGTTATACTGATTATCATGCAGCATAATTATATAACATGGTGGACTCGCCAGGATGTCTGCTTTTGAATGCACTTCTTTTTGGCCTCCTGCAGTAACCACACTCGGTGATGTATACTACTTAAGTGGCATGCATTTTTTCCTATTGGTTTTCAATGGTCTTGTGCATTCAAATGTATTTTGCAGAAAACATGCACAATAAATATTCTTTCTTTTGCTCATTTGGTAGGAAATCACATTGTCTTCATATTTTGTGCCCGAAGAAAGTGTGTATTTAGGTTTTTAACACGTTTCCCAATTCGAGAATAATTTTCATCCTGATCAGACATTGCATCAGCGTTTAGCAATTTCAGTCTACAGGTATATGCTTTCCGCGTCAGGAAAATCATATATTCCTCTATGCCTTTAAAGAGATACCACATAGAGTTCGTGATATTTTTGTACATTTCATGAGGATCATTAGTAAACAGACACGTGTGGTCTTGCATGCATTGGCATCGCACGGTTTTAAAAATCACATAACTAGACACTTTTTTAAAACCAAAATATACGCTGTCTTCAAGCATAAAATATGAAGACAATGTGATGTCCTACCAAATGAACAAAAGAAAACATATTTATGTGCATGTTTTCTGTAAAATATATTTAAATTTATAAAACTATCGAAAATCAATAGGAAAAATGCATGCTACTTATGTAATCATTTTTTACCGAGTGTGGCTTCTGCAGGAGGTCAAAAAGAAGTACATTCAAAAGCCGACATCCTGTCGAGTCTGAAATATTATAGGGTTATGCTGCATGAAAATCAGTATAATAACCCCACTTAAGTAATCCTTCCTAATCGGCAATGCATTCCAGACTTTTGGCCAACATTTTATGAGATCGGTCACGCACTGTAGGATGTTTCTAGAGGAGAGAATTTGTAACTTTTTGAAGCCTAATTCATCGACGGAGACATTTAAACCGATGCCAAGTTCGATCCGTTTTGGTGTATTTATTGCTGCATATAAGATCACGAAAATTGCCCTTTAGAAGAACTTTTGCAATATCTTTTCAAGAAACATTTATTATAAAAGTAGCGCATAAAAGTTATAAGCATGAAAATGGTGACAAAAGATGTTGGTGGATAAAATTGAGTTTCACTGACGCCGGCGTATAAGACAGAGGGATAGTGTTATGGAGGCGCGAAATCATAGTGGCATTTCGACATTTCTTTATTTAAATATGCCAGGACAAATTTGTGTAGGTAGATGTACTCCACCTAAAAAAACATAGAAAGGAGAAGTAATTATGAAGAAGAGGATGGGAAGTAGACGAAGATAAGTAGACGCGCATTGGTGAATACCGTTCAACTCTAATCAACCTCAGACTTGCGTGACCTGGAATTTGAGTGGGAAAGCCTTGTCCAAGGAATCCGAGTTTGCTAACCCGGCTGACGGACGACTGCTCATTGCCGTTCTTATGGCTATCCCTTTAAACACGTGAGATATACATTCAACGTCAGTCTTTCAGTAGTTCTGCTTGTTTGGAGAATGGGCATTTCACAGTTACTTCATACAAGCTGATAGCAACCCCTGCAGTTTCGGAGCTGACCGTTAAATTGTCCTTTCCGAGCTTTTATCTACAAGAGCTCCTCTAGATAATTAGCATAATTTTTTCGTCACCGTATAAACCTACATTTTAACTACAATGGGACATACTGAGTCTCTGGGAGACCCAGTTAGGCGTCCAAACTCTCGTAGTTGCTTCATACAGCAGTGAAATTATCAGTGTCAGAAATCTTAGTTAGCACCTTTGTTGTAAGTACGAAATGTGATGTATGCAGATATGCTGTAGAGGCCAGTCGTATTCGAGTGAACGCTCCCCCTTACAGTCTCAAGGCTGACCTCAAATTCCTGTCTCAAGTACTCAAATTCCTCAACATGTTCAGTAGATCCAGCTGTGAAAAACTCGTGGGTGGTTTTCAAAAAATCTTGCATACTTACACTTGTATGGACAAGTTTCCGCCGGTATTTTCGTAGTTGCTTGACACATCCATAGATATCGATGCTTTTTGCGCCCATGTCTAAATTCTGTTTAAGAATTGTGGCGGCTAAGAAGACGCCTGCACGACCGACTCCGGCTCTGAAAATGGAGAATATGGGGAGTTTATTTAAAAAAAAGTGGCTAAGATGTGGTTATGAAGCCCCACCTGATGGACACAATATTGTTGGGGTTATGGGTTAGGATTAGAGATTATGGACGGGGGTTAGGGGGAACTATTTCTGAACCACTCAAAGTCTAACCGCCTATTCCAAGTAGCTTTTCTTTTGTATACAATTGCTTGACCTCGTCTTTTGTGCGTTCTCCGGACGCACCTGTAAAAAGCTCTATAACCACCGGTCCCGTATTATAAATGGCTAGGGTTTGTTTTTCTCAGGTGGGGTAACATAACCACATCTGACCAAAATATTTTCTCGTTTTTTAAGAACGTTTGGTAGCTTAAATTTTCCTCTCACCCCTCCCTGGCAAATGTGGATGCTGGCAGCAGTGATCGACCTAAGCATTTTGATTGACTACGCCTCATAGTTTATGAGGGCAGTCATGATATTTACCATTTAACGTTGATTGCTTTGAAGGTGAACTGGGTCGTACAGGGATTTGTTGAAATGGCGGTAAGTAAGGAGCATGCCATTTGGTGTGGCTTGGTTCACGAAGTGGGCAGGTCGTGTGTGGGAGGGCCTTCACTTCGCGGTAGTCAGTCCGCCCAATTCAGAAGACAAAGATGCGATAACTGGAACAATAAATTTATTGGCCTGACGTTTCGGACTCTCACTCGAATCCATCATCAGAGACAGTCGCAGATAAAGGTGACGGTGGCACCAGGAGTGCAGTATTTATAGCACGTGGCTGCCGTGGGGCTAAATGCGCACTGTAGTTAACAGCTCTCTCAATCACCGCTGGGGTCGTAATTGATGCGGTGGTGGCTTGTCGGTCCGAGTCTCAGTCGTTAATGGCCGCGATTTCGTCATCCGTGCTGGATGCTGGTGTGACGATTGCTCGGAAAATTGGTTCACTGTCACTGGGATAATGGTTCGTCCGCGCCCTCCCCACGTGACTTATTTCACTACCCAGAGAAAATATCAGCACGGAATATGGTGACGAGAGGTCATTGCGCTTCTTGATGGATGGCGGGCCTAAGAACCATGACTCGAGCAGCTCGCGGCTCACGCGGTTGTCACCCCTTGCGAGGATTTCGGCCTCTTGAAATATGAAAATATAGCCAGGTCCTGTCGAATGTGTCGCCACTTGAGAACTAGCGTCTCCCCGCCTCACTGCTGCTGCGTGCTCGACAATTCGCGTACGGATTTATCTCTCAGATTCTCCGACGTAGTTGTTCTGTGGGGAACCCCACCAGACTCCAGACGTTTCCTGCCGTGGCAGTGGGTCTTTCGGCTCCATGACTTGGCGCCTAATGGTTGCTTCCGGCCTGTGTGCGGTGTCCAGTCCGCCCAATCCCGACAGTTCGACCGTCGTTGTCGACGACGTCAACCGTGTGTTCCACAGCAAGGTGAGAGCGGGGACGGTGGATTGTGTGTGAATTAGCTTATAATTACAATGGACTTGCGCAGCATCTACCGCACTACCTCCTCTCCACTCCCCACTCGTACTTAAGAAGACTGGAGGCGGAAGGTGGACACAGGTGGATGGCAAAACTGAACCCGCACCTACAGGTCTGCCACCACACCACCTGGCTCACAAGAAACTCTCCTCCAATCCTAGATTGATATTCTCAGACAGTCGATTTTTCACGAGTGTGGAACAGGAGAGTATGCCCGACACTGTGGGCGTTAATCGTCACCCCATGTGAGCTCGCCCCTCGCTATCACGGCGCTTGCTTGTGAGGCTGCCAACACGACCCTTTCCGTGACTGACCGCTGGGCTGTAATGGCTCCCTTTTTAATGTGGCTTTCTCGACATTCTCAACCATGCAGTACACGGAATGGCCTGGAACGCAGCCTAGTGCATACAGGGTGGGAACCGGGTTGGTTGTGGCACACGTAGAGGAGATGTTTAATTCGTCAGCCACTGCACTGCACCTGATTCTGTAAGTAGTGGTGTATTTTAGGGTAATAGGCAATGCCCTTGATGACCCTATTCAAAACGGTACATACAATGTAGATGTTAAATGCTCAGCCTACTAAAATTTTGCCAGTAACATATTCGTTTACGGAAAATGCCTTTGCAGTGCGGGACTGCGAAGGGTGCGGCAGGCGGTCTTTTCAATGGACATATGAAATCCTGGATTCTAATTTCAACCTTTTCGACTTCGTGCCATCATCGCAACCTGAACCTTTACTGGGCCTGTCTCATCGTCGATAATGGTGGCCGAAACATCCGGTGTCCGGGTAAAGTCCGACTACGCTTTGAATATGTAATAAGTCGAGAAGAACAAAATCTTCCTCGCCACCAAACTGTCGGAAATCCTGTGGAACACCAGTACTGCTTAGAGCGGACTGATTAAGATTTTTTCAGGAGAAGTAACGGAACCAGGATCTAGAATCTAGAGTCATTTACCGTCCACAGACGACCTAATTAGATGTTCAAGGAGACGATCGACATTAGTCTGGAGACAAAGACAATCAACAATGATCTTGGATTCGAGGTATCGTGACAGGTTAAATCCTGAAACAGGCCTCACTGGGACGCTATGTTAGCCGAAAGAAAAAAGGTTTTTAAGCAGAAAATGGACATCAAAACGCCAAAAAGTACTGCTCAGATAGGCAAAGACGTTTTGGCCCACCAGAGACTCGTTCGCTTTTTAGTACCCCGCAATAACAATAATAAGAAAGACAGAGAGAAGATGGTACCTACCTGCAATGAATAACCCTAGGTCCGGCGTCTTTGGAAACGGGCAACTTAGGATTGTAGCATTCTTCGATGAATTTAGCAAGTTGCATCTCATCGGGCTCTTCACCCTTTGGCCAGTTGATAAACTGCAGTCGACGTACCGTTAAGGGCTGTAGGAGGACAAAGGAGAGACGTCTAGACTCAAACCTGTTAAATGGTACAACTGTTAGACCAGGAGTCATGTTTCATAGAAGCGAACAGGCGAGTCCCAGGAAACAGTTCAGATGATGAAGATGTGATTACTGGAACAAGAACTGTATTGGCCTCAGATTTCGGAGCCTCACTCGAACCCATCGTCAGAGACAGTTGCGGATGGGTTCAAGTGAGAATCCGAGCTGTCAGATAAATAAATTTCCTGTTCCAGTGATCGCATCTTCGTCTTCCAGTCATGTTTTAGTTGTCTAGAAATCAGAATTGAAGTCAGCAAAATGCACTTGTCAAGACAAGTGAAGAGAATGAGGATCGGTCTGTCTAGACACCAAGGTCATGTACTCCCGTTCAGACAGCCTTAGTGCTGATTGGCCACCCTTCAGCCTATGACATCCCCCTGCCCCCCTCCTATATACCCATCCGTTTCTACAAGGCTCCCACTCATGTTGTCTCCCGTACCAAGTACCCGTCCTGTCCAGAACTAACCGTCTGTTTTGCACACATTCAGTAGATGTGCTAACTCATGAAATGTCAACCAAAATTCCGAAATGCGTTCTCGTTTCGAAAAGATAAATTAAGTAGTGTTGTAAAATTAATCATGATGCAGCATAAATCTATAATGATCCAGTTACCTCAGGGTGTCGGCTTTCGAAAGAACTTATTTTCGGCTGCATGCAAGATCTATATTTTGCAAAAAATGACTGCTTAATTAGCATGCAATATTCTCATTGACGGTCGATGTCCTTGAAAAATCAATTATATTTCATGGAAAACATGCATAAAAATATTCATTATTTTACTTATTCTGTAGAAAATCATGTCTTCTTCCAACGTCATACTCAAAAGAAGAGTATAATTCGGTTTTAAAAAACTTTTCTAATTCCCGAATAATTTTGAACCCGACCTGTTGATACACTTCATTCAGGGCTTCAAAACTACATGCCGTATATTTTCTGTGTACGGAAAACCATTCATTTCTCTACAGTGTTAAAAGGAGACCATTTGGAGTTCATGAAATTAAACATTGAATTTCAGCAATATCGTTAGTTTTACAAGCCACATTCGAAAATGCGGATACATGACGTTTTGTGAACGGCCACTTCACGGCATTACAAAATCTCCCAATTAGAAACTTTTTAACACCGAATTATACTCTTTTTTGAGTATGAAATTGGAAGAAGACGTACTTGTCTACCAAATGAGCAAAAGAATGAATATTTTTATGCATGTTTTCCATGAAATATAATTGAATTTTTAAGGGCATCGAAAATCAACGAGAAAACTGCATGCTGGTTAAGTAGTCATTTTTTGCAGAGTATAGATCTTGCATGCAGCCGAAAATAAGTTCTTTCGAAAGCCGACACCCTGAGGTAACTGGATCATTATAGATTTATGCTGCTTCATGATTAGTGTTGCAACACTACTTAATTAATCTTTTCGAAACGAGAACGCATTTCGAAATTTTGGTTGACATTTCATGAGTTAGCACATCCCCTGTAACAACAAGGACCCTGGTTTCATTTGGGGTCGAAATCCGCAAGGCAAAGACCACCAGTAGAACGACTGAACTTCATCATGTCGTGATGCCGTGATGGTGGAGGTACCATGCACATTAGCGAAACGACACTCTCATGTGACACTCTGTGCCTTTTAGTCATGCTGCGAAATTATTCCAGGCCTAATTGCGTCAACAGACGCTTCAAGCACATGCCGGTCAATACCGTCAAAAGTTAAAACTCAACCTAACTGCGTGAGACATTTCGGGTCTTTTATGCTCTCGAATATCCAAAATCTCGACGTTAGTGTCGAGAACGGTTATTCGATAGACGTATTTGGGCGGTTAACCCCAGTAACTATAACGCAAAAGTTCAAAATGCATAAGTTAACCGCATAGGCAGCGGCAATGCAAACGTCTGCCAACAGCGATAAGCGATACGAAGGAGTCTTTTCTGAATTATTTATCTTCATCCGGCAGAGGCAGATAGCTTTGGTTGAAGTTCTCAGGACGAAGGGGACTTGTTTTCTCCGTCTTCTAATCAGAGCTAACCCAATTTAGATGGAATATATTTGATAAAAGAGCTTAAAACTGGGTATGCAAAATTGACACTCAAAAGACTAGGCGGAAGCATCATGGTCTGGTTTTAGAACCTAAAATGGCGAAGAATTAAAACAAAAGGGTTACCAGATTTTTTACGCGCCCAGTAAGCAGACAAGGTGACTAGAGCGTGTCTTGCTGGTGAGACCAACGTCATCAGGAGTGTGAAAACTCGACAAATAAGGCGTGTCTTTTAGCTGTGTCACACCTCATAACTATGTCCCACTTATGAGGGGTAGAAGCGAGACATTGAGAAGAGAGTGGGAGCTTTATTCCGTGCAGAAGGCTTGAAGTGCAGTTCTGACACTTAGAATTCAGCACTGGGCAGAGCGGACCTCTGTGTCAGTCAGTCGTTGAAGTGAATATTCCAGTCACATGCCCACGCCGAAAATCCCCATGTCAACAGTGAGTTCGGATTGTTGGCGCTGATGATTTTAATGAACGAAACGTATTCCCAAGTCAGAAAAAAGAACTCTCCCCCGCTCACCGATCGTTCTTAGGGAAATCACTCGTTCCGTTGTGCCATGCTGGCTCTCTCTCTCAAGCCCAACCAGCAGCCGCACAGCGGCGCATGATATAGGCAGTATGTTATTACCGACAGGGCAACGGGCCCGTGGCCAAGTGGTTAGAGGCGTGGACTTCTAACTAACAGGTCGCGAGTTCGAGCCTCAGGTGTTCCACTCTTCGGGGTTGGGTATGACTGACTGACGACGACTAATAAGACAGAAATGGCTATTCCAGCCTCCCTTGTATTTGTCGGTAATAACACTCTCTCCGGTTTGTTGGAACATAAGGTAAGGTTGGCGATCTAATCAACTTAGGCCCTGGAAGCAACAAGGTTACAGTTACAGTAGGTGGGCTAACTCATGAAATTTCAACTAAAATTCCGAAAGGCGTTTTCGTTTCGAAAAGATTAATTAAGTGGGACTGTAAAACCAGTCAGCCTGCAGCATAATTCTATAATATTTCAGTTACCTCAGGATGCCGGCTTTCGAAGGGACTTCCTTCCGCCTGCAAGCAAAGACTACACTCTGTAAAAAATGACAACTTAAGTAGTATAAATTTTTCTCATTGATCTTCATGGACCCTAAATGTTCAATTATATTTCATGGAAAGCATGCATGAAAATATTCATTCTTTTGCTTATTGGTAGCTAATTACGTCTTCTTCTAATTTTGTGCTCGAAGGAGGGAAATAATTCGGTTTTTAAAAAGTTTATAATTATAGGACTTCTAAATACCATGAAATGTGCGTTCATAAATCTTCATATCTCTGCATTTACCAGTGTGGCTTGTAAAGTTAACAATATGGATCAAATCCCCTGCTAAATTTTATGAATCCTTTATAGTCCCCTTTTATTACCGTAGAGAAATGTGTGGCTTGTAGTTTGGAAACCCTGAATCTAAGTGTAACGGTAGAGCGGGTTCGAAATTATTCGGGAATTGGAAAAGTTTTTGGAAACCAAATAATACCCTTCCTTCGAGTATAAGATTAGAAGAGAAGGAATGAATATTTTTATGTGTTTTCCATGAAATATAATTCGACTTTTAGGGCCATCGAAAATCAATGAGAAAAATTATTGCTACGTAAGCAGTCATTTTTTACTAAGTGTAGATTTGCATGCAGTCGGAAGGAAGTTCATTCGAAAGCGGACACCCTGAGGTAACTGAAATATTATAGATTTATGTTGCTGACTGATTAGTTTTACAACGTTTCTTAATTAATCTTTTCGAAACGAAAACGCATTTCGGAATTTCAGTTGACATTTCATGAGTTAGCCTACCTACTGTATACTTGATACGGCCATGTTCAAATCTGGTGTCGTTACTTGCACCTCTGAAAAGGTGGACCTGAATAGCTCGACATGCCCGGCCCTTTGGCGACGAAGACCAAATGTCATGGGTTCCTACGACACCTTCATGTCTTGACGGATCCTGGTAATCCAGGCAGTAGCGCCAGGCAAACAAGCACGACAATGAACCCGTGAGAAGAGCGACAAAAAGTGGCTCGAAGCCACCCCGCTGATCTCTGTTAGATGGTCTGCGATACCAGCACCACCCAGTATTTACAGCCCTACTAGAGGACTGAATAGAGTTTTACTATGTCCTGAAAGCTAACAACCATCAATTCTGGAAGGAGAATATTTTCCCAGTTGGAACTGCACCTCGAAAACGCCTGAGGCTACCTACTGTAGGTCTTCGTAACTTCAGGTGGCGGGAGGATGTAGTCAACTTAATGGGGGTCAGACAACCGGCTTTCGGGTGGGAAGTTAGTACCATCAAATCCATGTACTACTCAGTCAGGAATTAAATGAAAGATGTACATTATTTGCATTGCCAAAAAATGCGATAATTCAGAATGCCTGACCAAACATCGAATGATTTGGAGAGATTGTCAAGGACTAGATCTTGAGCAGTAGTGGAGTGAGGGAAAGCCGTAATTACAACGAGGGCTTTCGCGCCGTACCGTCCAGCTACAGGAGAGAAATTTACCATCGAAGTCGGGCAAATGAGTAATATTCAGCTGCTGACAACCATGGCCGAATTCAAGTACACGCCGCAGTGTGGGCATTCACCGCCAGACTGGAACACGGTCTAATTGAGTCTCATACCCGACTCATGCACACGACTAAACGGACCGGAAATTGCCCTGTCAATGAGGCCTGCGTGCCTTAGCTGTTAACCTGGGGACAGACACAAAAAATGACCGGGTTCGCTTATTACGACTGCCTCACGGAACCAGGCATGGGAGTGTCGGAACGGGCTCTATCCCCCTTGGCGAGGATGTCGTCCCCTCGAGGTCTCCTGTGGTTTAACAGTCTCTGTATTGTATCAAACATGTCTTCTAGAGGGGAGTCCCACGATGCTTCCTAGGTTGGGGAGTGCAGCGTATCCTGCCGGGGCCGTCAGGACATTATGCCTTCAACGCGTGACAAGCGAACGATCAAGGTCATCACCCCTGTTCATACCTTCTTTATGCTGATTGGCCACCCATCAGCCTATGAGAGTCCCCGTGCCATATACCCAGCCGTTTCCACAAGCCTCCTCACTTGGGCTGTTTATCGTACTCAGTCCACGTCCCATTTCCAATTAACCTTCTACCTCAGAGTACCGGAAGACGGTGACTAGTTGTTCATCGAGGGCGAGAAGGTGTTCGAAGTGCCCTCGTATCATTCCACCTTGACCAAGTTGTTAGCAGCAGAATCACCATGCACACCGTCAGGGGAACCACTCGGAGCAGAAGGCCTACCACAAACTTAGGAACGCGAGTTTCACCGAGGTTTGTGGCCTATCTTATGGAGGTCGTTAAAGAAGCCCAATAGCATCTTCGATCACCTCTATTCCACTGTTTTGTCATGATCCGGATTTGGCGGAAGTAATCCTCTTTGCTGGACATAGTTCGAACAGTTTGAGCAGACAGATATAGGATCTCTCATCTTCGTCCATTTGCCTAGCTATCTGAGGACTACAAAGATCGGAAGCTAAGGCTGATGGTCAGCGCTGAGAGCCGCGACTGTGTGGGATTGTCGCAGTTTTTTGACATAAAGGCGCCTTGCACTTGATAATCTAAACGCGAATGCGAGTTGGACATTCACGCATTTACGAATAAAAGCATGGTCGGACACACAGGCCCCGCCAATATAAGCATCACCTATCGGTATTCTCTTAAGAGTCTGAAAAGGAAGCCTTGCGCCGAACCACAGTTCGACCGTTGCTGGCGACGATGTCCACCGTGTGCTCCACTGAAAAATGAAGCAGACTGGGTGACTTGTGCGTGAATGTAGACTTGCGCAGCATCTACCGCACTCTCTCTTCCCCACTCCCCGCCTGAACCCGGTGTAAAGACACAGACAAGAATCCTGGAGGTGGAGGAAGTGCGCAGGTGGCCGGCGCGGCCGGAGCCGCCCCTTGGCGTGCCACCACAGGCCCTAAACTGCACAGCAAATGACCAGGATTTTTCGCGAACAACAACACCCCAACAGGGATCAGAGCGACGGGGGTGACTGGGAAGCCATGCCCACCTTCTGTCTGAAAAGGAAACCATGCGCTGAACCACAGTTCGACCGTCACTACTGACGACGTCCACCGTGTGTTCCACTGAAAGATGAAGCAAACAGGGTGATTTGCGCGTCAGTTGGTTTAAAGTGATAATAGACTTGCGCAGCCCCTACCGCACTCTCTCCTACCCACTCCCCACCTGGACTCGGTGTCAAGACAGAGTCAAGAAGACCAGAGGCGGGGAAGGCGCTGGCGGCTGGCACGGTCGGACCCTCACCTAGGCGTGCCAGCCCACTCCCTGGTCCACAACATACACTTGCCCCGAATTTTTCACCAGCAGCAACAACAACAACAACACCCCCCAAAGGATTCAGAAGGACGAGGATGACCAGCCGGATAACCAGCGCATTCCAGGCTGCGAGGACCATGGCCTTCTGACACTGGTAAAGCACACGCTGTCAGGCCTTTTGACCTAGAAGGGCGACACGTGGCCCTGCATTTAGCCTGCGCCGTCACCCGTTTGCGCCGGACAGAATGCAGCCAACCGTATGACCATCTTCAGCGTGTCTGATTGACAGACGACTGCGGCAATGCTCGACGCATGTGCTAGCGATATACGCTCGTTCCTGGCCGGAAGAAGCTTAACTCCCTTAAGATGACTGATCCAGTCTGACCACTCTAGTTCCCTGAAATAGTCGGCCGATTTGGCGGTTTGTCGACAGCCGGTTTTGATGTGCCGATGGATACGAGAAAACGGTGAAACTTGAAACGACGGTTTATAGGAAGGCAACGAAGAGGACGCAGCTTCTCAGTTTTCACAGTAACCAGACGGTGGCTCACAAACGAAGCTGTGTGAAGACGCTCTTCAAACGGATCCAAACTCATTGCAGCAAACTGGAAGATAGAGCGCGTGAGGTCCGTTATCTCCGCGACCAGCTTGTGCAAAATGGCTATCCGAGGGCATTCATAAGTCGCTGCCTACGCGGTCTCCACCAGAGAACTCAAACATCAACGCCACCGACGATATGGCATTCTCTGCCATACATCAAGGGTGTTTCAGAAGCGACCGAGCGCATTGCTGCGCAGATAGGTGTTGGAATTGCACACCGCCCTAAAGCCACCATGCACAACAGGGTCATGAAAATTAAAGACCGGTTAAAGCCTGAAGAGCAATCTGGAGTAGTGTATCACATTCCGTGTCAAAATTGTCCTTCTAACTACACAGGACAGACTGGACGCATGCTCGGATCGTGCATACATGAACATGAGCTGGCTGTGCGACGAGGCGACACATTATCACAAGTGGCCGCCCACACCTACGAAATGGGCAACGAGTTTAACTTCGCAGCCACCAAAATAGTCGCCCAAGCCGGAAACAAAACAGGCCAAGAACTGACTGAAGCCTGGGCCTCGGATGGGAATTCGGTCAATCGATTTATCTATCTGGCGCCGACGTACAGATCCCTGCGCAGTCACCTCCAGTCTTGCGCCGTCGGTCGATGATTGCCCTATAACTGTCGCTTGTTCTATTGCTGCTACTACCTCTGACGATGGACTCCTGTACGAGTCTGAAAACTCAGGACAATAAACAATGTGTTCCGGTGCTAACCTCTTCTTCTTTACTTATACGAGAGATATTCAAGCTATTTCCCCTTCAATCGTATGCAGACCAACCGGTCATTGACTGGATCCCGCGCAAGCAATGTATGATTCGCGGGACGACTATCGTCACACTGTGTCCGCCATCACTTGAACTCGGGATCTTGGACTCCCGAGAACCCGAAACGGAGACTGGAACTCCAGTCCGGCAGCAGGCATCCACGTTGGACTAATGGAGACTGCGAACCGTCAACCTTTGGGAAGCAGGGTTGAAATGTGTTCGCTCACTTGAGTAATTAGTACCAACAGTACACACTTGATTGTGAAGTCCAGTTCACATATTGTTCGCTCGCATCGCTGGACCAGAACACCAAATTCTTCAGTTCCTGCGGTCGCTGTAGCACAGATTGTGATACTGGAATAGGCATTTTCACGATGTTTCTTGGGGAGAGGGGGAGGGGTTTAGTGTACTCGGAGGGGCTGCTAAAGACTGTCTCCTCTAGCGCACTGATTGCAGAACCTGACAGCGGAAGAGAATTCATAAATATCCATTACTACTGGCCTTACTCTGTCATCATGCCACAGTGCCATCAGCAGTCGCTGCGTCATTTTTTTTTAACCTTTTCAACTTGTCAAACCCCAACCCTCGGCGTTTTTACAACACTGCCGGTGCTAATCCACCGTCTGTAGACAAAACAGCTAATCTAACGGACAAATTCGTCTCCCTACAGGTCGTGCTTATATCATTGTCACATCTATCTGCCTGGAAAGTAAAAATGTCAGACAAATGAACATCTTGCGTTAAAACCTTCGTACAATTTTCATTTGGAACACCAGGTGGCGAGCAGACGTAACTTTCGATAAATTATCGTCGGTCCAGTATAGATAAATGGGATCGGGGTAGAAGAAAAACACGTCAGCGATAAGAAAAATCGATAAAAGTGCTACTTAAAACACGGGCGTGGTGTGAGAATGTGGGGTGGGGTGGGGTGGGTAACAGCAGTCATTTTCAAGTGCGTGGTGAGCGCGGAAGGGCGCGGAGAGTTGCAGCGTTAGTCGACCTTCGACCACTATAGGCGCGGCGCCTGAACGTGGTTCTTCTGTGCGCATAAAATTGGCTTTCGTAACCTTATGGCGGCCGCTTCCGCTGTCGCTAACAGGCGCTGACCTAGTAGCTTAGGGTGGCTCGATGGGACCTTATAAATCACAAGAAAAGCTTCGTTGGGGTCCACACGATGTCCGGAATCGACAACATGCGCGAGAATGGCGCTGCTTATACTCCTCGTTCCACCTTTCCCCAGCCATGCCGGGAGGTGTTCCCGCACTCTCTTGGATAAGCACCAACTCATGCGACCAATATAACTCGTGTCACAGGAGCAAGTGGAGGAATATATGCACATTGAGGTGGTCTGCAGTGGCAACTTATCCTTACCTTCTCCGCGTAAAATAGGGTTGATAGAGAAGGATATTTGAACCATTGCTGCTGGGAAGGTTCCCGAGACAGCTTGATCAAGGCGTCTTCTTAGGAGTTCACTCGCAACGTCCCCTTGGAAAGGGACTTTGAGAAACAAAGTTTTCTTTTCGGCGGTGGTTGTGGCGGGTTTGATCGGTCGTTCGGCAATGTTCTTTGCAATAAACCTGCCAGGATACCCGTTTTCGCGAAAGAAGTCCTGGATTTTTCTGAAATCCTCCTCGATGCTAACTGTTGAGCAAATTTATTCTAGCTCTTTGTGCCAAACATCGGACTGGATTTCGTTTTTGTTGTAAGGATACGAAGCTGGCGAAGTTCATAAATTGTCCAGACCAGGTTTGCTTCTGATAGACGCTTCTTCGGACACTCCCGTCAGGTCTCCTGCTTAGAAGAACATCTAAGAAAGGGAGCGAACCGGCCGTTTCGATCTCCAGCGGGAATTTTATCGACTGATGTGCCTGATTTACCGCCTCTAAGAGGGTAGCTAGGTCGGTTTCTGCAGCGGCAATTGCAAAGATATCATCAAAATAGCGATCGCAATCGACCATTTGCACTCCCGGTTTAGCGTTGCCTTACTTCACAAAAGTTATACTAATCTGATGGCTACGAAACCCTGCGGGAGTGGTTCTTGGGAGGCAAAAAACCACGGGAAAAGGATGGAAAAAATAACTTACTAGATTCTCCTTACCGGTCGGCCAAACGCGGAAGTTCATCTCAAGCCAGCCGGTGCTCATGCGTTCACTCAACAGTTGTACACACATGTCCATTTGTTGTGAACTGAAGACCTGAACCCCATTTACAGCCTTTGGCCAGTAATAAATACTTTCGTTATTGCCATTGGCCAAGGAGCTAAAGAAATGCCAAGGGCAAGTGATTACACACATGCATGCCTATATAAGTGCGTACATGTATTCAGTACAGTCAGTGACCAGTCACATGAAATGCACTCTCAGCTAGGATTACTGTAATCAACAGTATGACCGCATAAAAGCTATGCTTCCCAATCGAAAACACACTTCACAGTGTTGGCTAAAATTTTATGGGACCAGTTGTCAACAGTAAGTTGTGCTTACGTTAGTCAACAATTCAGAGATTGGGTGAAGCAGACTTACCCTGAAAGCATGACAATGAGTGGCGTCTGCTGTTCGTAAATCATTTGCCAAAAGTCCCCAATAGTATTTGCAAGGGGATCCTGCGTGACGATGAATTCCGGCTTCGCTAAAGACTCAACCTTAATGGTGCGTCCATCGGTTGCCGCGGAACAGCTTCCAATGTAACTTGCGTTTATGTAGTTGCCGGCAACAGAGTGCTGTAAGGAATGAGTGATGGAATACTAAGGTTGGGACATCTGACAGCTCAACTCCGGAGGCAGAAAGTACAAAGAAATGCACACTTTGAAAAGATGAGGAACTGTTAGGGCCATGACTATAGAACTTGGGCTCCAGCATCAGGTCACTTGGACCCGGGGATGGCTAATGATGACTGATAGGTCGGAAATCGTCATACCAGCCTCCTACACACACAACTGTTGCTACGCAACTGCCTGCGATGGCTTTGCATTGAGCACACGGGAAAACGCGGTCCCTTGTGTGATATTTTAATGCGCATTTAAAGTACTCACCTGACCTAACATCCGCGTACGGATGGCGAGAAACATTTCCGCTCTAAGAGCAGCCAATCACCGCACATGAACTGACTTAACTTTCTATGCTCACCTTGACAGCGAAGGAGAGGGGCTTTTGTTGCTCTTTGGTGAGTTTTGCTGGAAAGAGCATATGCCAACGTGAAACAGCCTTAGCCGAGCAAACGAAATCGCAAAAGGTATGGCGAAAACGAAAGGCGCAGCGAAAATTAATTTAAAGTGCATGCGTCAAACGTGTGCGCGCCGTAATAGGCTAGTGGATAAACCAGAACTCACAATTTTGTATCCTAGAACCTACAAGGGTAACGACTGAATATGTAAGTCTACCTTTTTATTATTATAGCATTCCTAACCACTTGATTTTTGTAGACATGCCATATATAGGGTTGCGTTTCTGACTAATTTTAAGAAAATTATCAAATTTGGATTAAAGTTAGGTCTAATGTTAGGGTTGTGTTCAAGATTAGGATCACGGAAACGGTTAGGCTCGGGGTTAATGTTATGGCTAATACTAAGTTGGCCCGTCCCATACGGTCATACCCAGTCCAGTCTTTTTTCGCCAACACCTCCAAATTACCTGTTTTCCGGCCGTTTACACGCCCCAGTTAGCATCTTCCAAATTTCGCGGTCTGTTCCAGCCTCTTCTTGAAAGTCATAAATCAAAGATATGGCAGAAATGCGAGTTTTCTTAATGTCTTTCTCAGATTCCGTTACTACCTGCGACTATCTGCCCTACTGATAAAGCTGATCTAAACATCCTTCCCGTATTGCAGGGGTTCTGACCCACAATGGGAGTATGATGAGTCGACGGTAATCTGCATACATCTATATGCAGAATAAAATTGCCAACAGACACAAAGGAGACGGAATGGGCATTGGTGGCTAAAACTATTGCTCACTTACCATGTCAGAATTGGCGGCGAGGCGAAGATTGTACTGAGACCATGGCTGTCCGAGGATAACTCTTGATGCGTCATCTTTAAAATGTTAATGAAGGACACTTTAGTATATTTAATAGGACAGAAGAGACTGAGCAAGACTGACCACACAATATTTGCATGGCGCTAGGGTGTCTATATTGCACAGGAGCGTTCGTATGTGGATCGAGAAGATGTACATACAGTTCACATTGAAACGGCATTTGCGGCCTTATATGCAGTCTCCAGTCGGTAAAATCCCATCCGGAGACTGAATACCAGGCCAGCTGATAGTCGAACGACGCCACTTCATGTCAGCTGAGTGAGGGCTAATTAAGAATTTCGTACGAATTTCTTCCTAGTAAGACAGACTTTCGATGCAACTACAGTGCGTGACCGATCTCATGAAATGTTGGCCAAAATTCTGAAATGCGTTTCCAATTGAAAAGGATTACGTAAGTGAGGTCGTTCTACTGATTACCATGCAGAATAACCATATAACACTTTGAACTCGACAGGATGTCGGCTTTTGAAAGCACTTCTTTTTGGCCTTCTGCAGTAAGCACACTCGGTAAAAAATGATTACTTAAGTAGCATGCATTTTTCCTATTGATGTTCGATAGTTTTATAAATTTTAATATATTTTCCAGACACCATGCACACAACTATGCTTTCTTTTGTTCATTTGGTAGGAAATCACATTGTCTTCATATTTTATGCCCGAAGAAAGTGAATATTTTGGTTTTATAAAAGTTTCTAATTATGTGATTTTTAAGACCGTGCGATGTCAATGCATGTAAGACCGCACATGTCCGTTTACCAATGCTCCTCATGAAATGCACAACACAGTCCGGGTCCATTGTAAAATTTAATGAACTCTATGTGGTATCTTCTTAAAGGCATAGAGAAATATATGATTTTCCTTATGCGGAATGCATTTGCCTTGTAGACTGAAATTGCTAAACGCTGATGCAATGGCAGATCAGGATGAAAATTATTCGGGAATTGGGAAACTTTTTTAAAACCTAAATACACACTTTCTTCGGGCATAAAATATGAAGACAATGTGATTTCCTACCAAATGAGCAAAAGAAAGGACATTTATTGTGCATGTTTTCCGTAAAATACATTTCAATGCATAATACCATCGAAAATGAATAGTAAAAATGCATGCCACTTAAGTAGTATACATCACCGAGTGTGGTTACTGCAGGAGGCCAAAAATAATAGCATTCAAAAGCAGACATCCTGGCGAGTCCGAAATGTTATATGAATATGCTGCATGATAATCAGTATAACAACCCCACTTAAGTGATCCTTCCTAATCGGAGACGCATTCCAGAATTTTGGCCAACATTTCATGAGATCAGTCACGCATGTACCTCACCCCTCCTTCCCCATCCACCTTGTTCTGACGATAAGGCAAGTTCGGGAGTACTGGAAATGATCCGGGACGCAGTGTCTGATAGGGCTAATTATCCCGTCTACGCGTACCACACACGAGCTTCCTCTCGATCGGGGCCACAGTAGTGGTGACTCGAATCTTACGTAGAAAAGAATGTCATACAGGCTGCATTAAGTAGGTACCCTGCGGCATGGTCGTCAGTTTCATGAAGGACCGGCCTATCCCGCCAGTTGGCAACCTTCCAGCTCACGACTCGTAGAGCATTGTGATTGGTTGAAGCGCGTCTTATTTACTTTGTGGCGAATACGCAGATTTATCGTGAGGATGGATGCCCCCCCCACCTCTCCAAAGGTCAGTCAATTGCTGGCAAAGCGGTACACGGCCAACCGTTATCAAGTTAGGGATAGGTTGGCTGGCAACATGAGACTGGCGTGCACCAAAATATGCCGTCCGAGGATTTTCACATTTTTGTAATCGTTCGCATAAATTATCAGTGAACAAAACACGGTGTTGGGTAAGCAGGAGGTGATTCCATCAGTCTGAAGTCCGAAGCCATGGCGACCATCATCAGCCTGACGTTTGTGTTCAACTTGCCATTTCATTGTCGATTAATCGTTATGCCATGGTCCATTAAAAATCCACTAAATACTGTCGTTGCAAAATTTTGTTTAGAAAACATCTTACATCCCGGTTCCTAACCCTAAAAAAGGTTCAATTAGGATTCATTTCTCGACTCACATGGCCCCATTTTCTTGTATTTATTGCGTTCTGCATTTTGGAGAAGGCATGCAGCCAGGCACGTTCGATCGCTTTTGAGGCGTTCATTCTCTGTTTGTTTTTCCAGGTGCTAAGTAGAAAAGGAGAATAATTATTTTATCGGAGCCTTCAAATGAAAAGGACACTTTGTTTTATCACTAGAAGTATCCTGATTGTATTCCTTTTAAATCAGTTTATGTTTTGTTAAATCGGGTTTCCAGACAGACAGAGAGAGCGCGATATTTCAGTATGGAGCAGAGCCTAAAATGCAGTAGCAGGTCGGTAACAGCTTTTCCCAGCTATCCTGCAATTCCTCGTATTTATTTTCAAGACAAAAAGCCCTTAAATTGCAAAAGTCCACTTTCATTGCTGTGCACATTTTTCATTGCATTATTTCCACCACTAAGGTTGTCCGTGCATCCTTGTAAAAACTATTGAGGCGGGAAATAAGACAACCAGTGTTGCCAAAATGCGCAAACTGCCTGCGTTTGGGAAGGAATCTGCTATGTTAGGGGACGCTCACCGATCGTTCTTACGGAACTCACTCGTTCCCCTGTGCCTTTTGTGCTCTCTTTCGAGCCCAACCAACAGCCGCACAGCGGCGCATGATACATAGGCAGAATGGCATTACCGACAAAGACAAGGGAGACTGGAATGGCCATTTCTGGCTTATAAGCCGTCGTCAGCCAGTCATACCCAACCCCGAAGTGTGGAACACCCGAGGCTCGAACTCGTGACCTGTTAGTTAGAAGTCCACGCCTCTAATCACTGAACCACGAGCCCGTTGCCCTGTCGGTTTTCAATCGGGAATATACAATGGTAGGGGGCGCTCACCGATCGTTCTTACAGAACTTGCACGTTCCGTTTTGCCTTGTGGACTCTCTCTCCCTCGAGCCCAAACAGCAGCCGCACGGCGGATTCGAGTTGTGGGACGGCTAATAAGGCAGAAATGACCATCCCAGTCTGCCTTGCCTTTGTCGGCAATAATGTATTGCCTAAGGAATCTGCCGTAATATTCCTGACGGTTCAATCTGGCACGTATTGAAATGACCTAGAGTAACCCTTTGGGAAGCAAATAGCGCTTTTTATAAAATACCGACTCCTGCCGTATAGTGTTAACAGACACATGCACATTCAGCCTATTTGAGCAGTGGAAGCCTGTATTAGACAACAGTCGCACAGAGGCATGGCCCATCTGCACGTTCTTGTCGGCTTAACTTGTTCTTTTAACTGTCGCCGGAGCACTGGAGTCTCGGTCGATGGTTTTTGGCCGCCCATTGTGCCCTGTCTTAATGTTGGAAAACGACTAAATTCCGCGCAGACCGGATGTGGTTCGATGTAGCGACTGAGTGGGCCTCACGACAAATAAAATTAACTTGTTGCTCTAATTTTAAATATAACAATAATCACAACTGCGTGCATCCCGAAATATAGGATGGCTTGCATGGTATGCATCATCACCTATGAAGGCTGAATGACACACACACTTGTCACCTCAACACAAATTAGTGATGCGATCTCTAGCCCCTCTAATCAATCTATCAGAGGGACGTGACGTTTTCACTGTTTTTAATAAGACTAAAGGGTGTGCGTGGAAATAGGTACAGGTTGCCTTGGGGGATGTTTACTTCTGTGTCACAACCTTGAACTTTAAATCGGCTGCACTGGGGCTCGAATTCTCAAATGACAATTTGCTTTCACCTCATATACAACCAGCGTCATCGTCTGCTATGTAGACCCAAATGGCACAAGTTAAGGGAACCTGAGTGTGTAGCAGTCGGCCGCATCACACTGGCTCAGAAGACGTGACAGAGCAGTTGTGACAACAAAACGTCCAAATTTGAGCAATAATAAGACCAGGCAGCGAAGTAAGCTGTGTCATAGCTTTCAAAGTAAGACCGGTGCTGAGGCCGACGAGCTGCACACCCACAACCGTCGTGACCGGCGATCTCCACCGTGTGATTGCCTCCGGTCAGGCGTCCAGTAATGAAGCCGAAAGACCCGCTGCCACGGCTATAAACGTCTGGAGTCGTTTGTCGGAGCTGGCGCAGTTGCAGACAGAGCAATTACGTCGGAGAAATCGGAAGACAGCTCTGAACGCGAGTGGCTGAACATGCGGCGACAATACGGAGAAATGACTCCAGCTCTCAAGTCGCGGCTCATTCGACGAGATCCGGCCACACATTCCAATTCGATGAGGCCGAAATTCTCGCGAGAGAAGACAACCGTGTGAGCCGGGAGCTGCTTGAGTCATGGTTTACTGGCCTCCAGTCCATTAACAAGTGCAATGACCTTCCTCTTTCATGCACGGTGCTGAGACTTCGCCTAGGTGGAAAAATTAGCCACGCGGGAGGCGCACAAGTGTAAACTTTTCCCAACTCCAGGATCAGTGTGTCAGATGGTCGAACAGTCATCACACCAACATCTAGCGCACGTGATGGCTTTGCAGCAATTAACGAAGCGAATGTCGGCCATCAAGCAATTATCACACCAAGGGCTACGATCCCGGATGAAGGGGGGGGCCGTGAATTGTCGTAGCTATGCGGTAGCATGGCGACTGCATCCTATAAATACTGCAGCCCCTTGTTCATGAATCACCCGTATCTGCTTTTGTCTCTGATGATGGGTTCGTGCAGGAATCTGAAACGTCAGGCTAATAAATCTCTTGTCCCAATGATCGTGTTTCCTTCTTCAAGACTACCTCCTGGGACTCGTCTCTTCGCTTCTATTGATCTCCACCGTGTGCTCCATAACACAGTAAGAGCAGAAACGTTGACCTGCGTGTTAGTTAGTCCAAAGCGACAGCAGACTTGCACGGCGTCTACCGCATTCTCTCCTCGTCCTCGTCCTTCTTCTTCTTCTTCTCCCCCTCCTCCTCGATCTCGATCCGGCGTCATGGCAGAGCTGAGAAGACGGAAGGGGGGAGAGTGCGCAGATGGCTGGAACTGCGAAATCGCGCACCTAGGCGTACCGCCCCACTCCCTGATCCACAAAGTACACTGAGCAAGATTTTTTACCACAGCAAACATAGCGGAGAGACGCGGATCTCAATCGGCTTGGCGTGAATCGACAACAGGGCCTGTCAACACACCCCACATTTGTTATGATTGCGCAATCCCGATAACGCCTGCCGGACACACGCTGTTGCTGGTAGACGTTCATTGGTGGAGGCCGATTCAGTTTAGGAGCCCGTTCGTCCGTCCCCTTTCTCTTTGGGAGCAGACTGCTTCTAACAACTTCGGATTTATTTCATGCAATAAAGGGGGTTTGAGTCTGCTTTTGAAGTCATTTGACTAAAACAGTTTGCATCTTGTTATTTCGAAGTGTAGATATTCAAATAGCCTGGCGGAATAATTACGTCGACTGGGGGCATTCGACTGATTGTCTCTAGCCAATCCTTAAAGACAGCAGGAAATCACTGAATTCATCTCTCTCAAAAAGGTATTCTTTTACTAGCCCCTGTGTTCGTACAGCGCATCTACCAAGTGGCTCATTTAAGAGCACAACACTCACACACAAACGACAGTTCGACCGTCGATTTCGACGATGTCCACCGTGTGCCCCACAGCTGTAGCAGCGGTGGGAGCAGGGACGGTGACTTGCGCAGGGGTTTGTAGTGCCAATAAACTTGCGCTGCATCTACCTACACTCTCTCCTCCTCCCCCGCCTGAGCCCGGTGTCAAGACCGAGTCAAGAAGACCGGAGACGAGGGAGGTCTCAGGAGGATGGCTCGGACGGATCCTCACCTTGGCGTTCAACCACACCCCCTGGTTCACACACAAATGACACATATAAACACACACCCTCACACACACGATAGTTCGACCGTCGCATCCGACGATGTCTACCGTGTGCTCCAAAGAAGGGTGGGGTCAGGGACGGTGACTTGTTCGAAAATTAAGTTTACAATGATAGTAGACTTGCGATGCATCTGTCGCACTCTCTCCTCCCCCACCTGCGTCCGGTGTCAAGACAGAGTCAAGAAAACCGGAGGCGGGGAGGGCGCAGGTGGATGGCACGGTCGCGTCTGCACCTTGACGTTCCACTCCACACCCCCTGGTCCACACAACAAACAACCAGATTTTTAACCAACAACACCAATGGGGGAGTGGCAGGGGTCCAGTTCACGCGACGTACGCCGACATCCGGGTCTGCCACGGCACCCCGAAATGTTGGCGTTTGTTATGATGCGCAAATCCGATAACGCCTGCCGGGATCTGATGTGGCCCCCGTATTGGTCCAGCACATCTACCACGTGCCCCGTTTGGGACACAGACCTGACGCCTGTCAACCGTGTCCATTAGCCTTACGATAATCTGCCCTTGATGTGATTTATCCTTACAGAAGAATGCTTGTCTGGAGGGCATTTCGAAACAACATTAGCAATCAACCAGCGCTTTGTAAAATAACAAGAATTATTGAATTCTCGCTTACCGCATATTGACTTTGCAGGTTTTTATATTTCTCCGCCTTTTCACACTGCATGAAGGATGCGAATTGGCTCACAGGAATCGATCTGTCACTAGAATTGAAGTCAATTGACATGGAATTTAGAAGTGCATCATGTGCCAATCTGTTAGCAGCGCCCTGCGGCGAAGGATAAAACAAAGTAGCCGTGATTCGAGAACTTTATATGTCCGAGCTGTGTATGGCCGACTGACGGAAGCATTTTCGATTGAGTGGCCAAATAAACACTTTCTACTTATTACAATTTCGTAGTAAATCACGACTAACAAGCAGAAGCCAGTCCGTTTATGTTGGAAATGCAAATCAGACGCCTAGACTTGGAGAATAAGTATTTACAGCAGATAAAGTGAATGCCGTCTGGAGTCATAGGCGCTGCATTGCGTAGGAATGTTTGGTTTAACGAGACCATCATTGGATGCAACGGCGAACTCTTCGAGGATGCCAAGTTCAAGGTCAGTTAGTCGGACGCTGGTCATGTGACGGAATCTGTGTCCCTTAATTTCACGGTAATCGGCGCACAGTCAAGAAAGCAAAGGCATCCCATCAAAGCCAACTTTTCTGAGAGCCAATGCGGTTTCAGTTGAAGAAAAGTTACTAGTTGAAAGACCAGGCCCTATGGAATGCTGTGCAGTCTACATATTTTTAGTCGTTAGGCCTCGATATCGAAGTACTGTGGCCTAAAAGTGCTTTGACACGACTTTAGTGAGTACATTTTGTTTCCACTGTTATATTGGCAGACTTTTCGGGAAGACTTCTGATCGTTTTTAAAAGGAAATACTTGTTCACAGCACCCAACCTATTGAGCTGGTCAGATACAATACTTAAGTCAAACAAAGGCAACACTTACTGCCTTCCAAAGTAAGCCATTCTAAAAGAAAACGAAAATCACTTTTAATTTCAGGGGTTACATGAAGAGACACACAGGTATAAGAGGGTTTATCCAGGTTTGTTCACAGCTCCTACAACGTGGCAAGGCAAAGTTGCTTCCGAAGTGACTTCCAGTTAGGTACTAGGATAAATTTAATTGTTTACAAATCCAGGATTCCCGCATAAAGTACATTTTATGCGTTCCTTCTCACTGGCGCGGCATTAACATGAAATATATACGCTGATATTAGCCCACGTTGCTTTTATGATAAATTCGACACCACTCCAAAGGCTCTAGACAGGCGCTGCACGAAAACAAAGGAATACTATATTCAGTTCCGAAATCGCGTCAGGTATTCGAACGCTGTTCTCAAGAGCATTTGAATGGTTCCTCCTGTATCTGCCAGAGGGTTTGCGGTGGTCCAACTTGATATATGTCAGGTCTTGCCTGCCATGAACTGGGACATTCCTGGTTAATTCATTGATATTTTGGCAGATTTTGAATAATTCATATTGACCCAACTGTGAAAAACTCGGCGCCTCGGTGGGATTCGAACCCACGCAGTAAGGGGAAGGCTTTAGCGCAGCCAATGCTCTAACCACCTGAGCTACGAGGCCCCGCCGGACGACGCGAATGTGATTAAACTCGCGTCGTCCGGCCTTACCCTTACTGGGTGGGTTCGAATCCCACCGAGGCGCCGAGTTTTTCACAGTGGGGTCAATATGGATGGAAGTTAAGACAAACTTTCAAGTCTCTGCCAGTACAGGAGATGTGTTAACTCATGCAATGTTAACCGAAATTCGGTAATGCTTTTTCGACTCGAAAAGATTTCTTAAGAAGGGTTGTAATATTAATCGCCTTGCAGCATAACCCCATGATAATTCAGTTAGTTTAAAATGCCAGCTCTTGAACGAACTTTTCACCAGTCGTCTGCAAAAACCACACTCTGTAAAAAATAGCTACTTAATTAGCATGCATTTTTCTTACTCATTTTCGGTGCACTTATAAACTCAAGTACATTTCATAGACAAAAATGCATAAAAGTATTTACTTTTTACCGTTTGGTAAACAATAACGCAATTTTCTAATTTTTTACTTAAAGGTGAGGTACTATTCGGTTTTAGAGCACTTTTCCAGCTCGTAAATAATTTTTAGCACATCCTGCTGTTAGAACTGCCTTCAGAGTTTCCAAACTACAAACTGTGTATTTTCATTGTACGGAAAATCATGCATTCTTAAGCAATTTAAGTAGTAGACCATATGGGGTTCATAAATTTTTGGCAGTTAATTTGAGCAGTATTGTAAAATTTACAAGCAACATTAGTTAATGTAGGGGCACTTCGCAGTCATAAATATCTCATAATTAAAGACTTTTTAAAACAGAATCATACCCTTTGTTCAAGTAAAAAGTAGAAAGAAGACGTGATTTTCTACCAAATGAGTAAGAGAGTGAATACTCTTATACATGTCTTCTGTGAAATATATTAAAACTTTTAAGGGCATCGAAAATCAATGAGAAAATGCATATTGTTTAAGTGGTCGTTTTTTACGGGGTGTAGTTTTTACAGGCGGCCGGAAAGGAGTTCATTCAAAAGCCAGCATCCTAATGTAAATGAATTATTATAGGATTATGCTGCCCTATGATTAATATTACAACCCAACTTAAGTAATCTTTTCGAATCGAAAACGCATTTTAGCATTTCATGAGTTAGCAAATCTACTGCAGTACTTGCCCGTTGCAACATTAATAAATGTAGAGACAAAAAAACCTCATTATTAAAGACTTTTTAAAATAGAATCATACCCCTTAGTCATGTAAAATGTAAATAGAAGGCGCGATTTTCTACCAACTTAGTGACAGAGCGAATACTTTTATGCATGTCTTCTGTGACATATATTTAAACTTTTAAGGACATTGAAAGTCCATGAGAAGAATGCATACTGTTTAAGTGGTCGCACAATGAGAAACTTTCTGAAGCCAAATTATACTCTCCTTTCGAATATAAAATTCGAAAAAGACGTAATTATTTACCGAATGAGCGAAAGAATGAATATTTTCATGCATGCTTTCCATGAAATATAACTGGACATTCAAAGGCATCGACAATCAATGAGAAAATTGCATGTCAATTAAGTAGTCATTTTTTGCAGAGTGTAGTTTTTGCAGGCGGCCGGAAAGGTGTTCATTCAAAAGCCAACATCCTACTGTAACTGAATTATTATGGGCTTATGCTGCACGATGATTAATATTACAACCCAACTTTAGTAATGTTTTCGAATCGAAAACTCATTTCAGATTTTCGGGTAACATTTCATGAGTTAGCAAATCTACTGCAGTATTTGTCCGTTGACTTAAGTCAACTTAATCTATTTGAAACGTAGTGCTAACGTTAACAGCTACCTGACTAGCTCTTAAACGTATCATAAAATCAGGCTAAATGGGCACATTGAGATACTAACTAGAAATCCAGACATTTCGCGTTAACTCACCTGTGCTCGCCTAGTGAGGATAATAGAGTATTAAATGCCGTCTTCAAGGTAGCCAACTACAGCTGCAAATAGCTTACGCAAATATATATGTATATGTGTGTGTGTGTGATAACTGCATGTCTGGCGCAGAGGCAAGACTAGCACTGTGATCGATAGACGCTTGCGACATCATATATTGGCACTGCGTTGAGTCGTAAAACCCAAAAATAGTTAGCAGCCTACTGCTCTGCATCAGTCAACGCCTTTTTTATTTGACAGATGGGTATTTCGCTCAGACAGCTTGCACTTTTGGAATCAAACTGCTCGAACGTGCTGGATTCAAACTGCCCACCTCAAAAACTTTGGAACATACAATTCTGCGAAAAAAAATAGATAGTAGCAAGGCCTAACTAGATTCTGGTTATCAATTAGGGGGCGTAAAGCGTTATGCAGCTCGAAATAGAGCGAGTTTTGACGCCAAAAAAATCGGCACCGAGACCTCAGCTTTCTTGATCGAACTGAGATTGTCGATGAGGTCGAGTATCCAGCATTAGATCTTGAAAGGTGTGTAGTAAGGCAATTGGGGATTCTGTAGTGTCCAATCAGAGCGCTTCAGTAATCCCGGTTCTGCACCTGTTCGCGAATGAATGAATAAGCGACATGGGAAACCAAGTCAGTGTCAGTTTGGAGGGTTGATTGGATAATAATTGAATCTGTGGACAGCCTCCACCTAAATGAGGTCATGGCATCTTTTGATGTTACATTCCCCTTTACTTCTATTCCCCAGGACCTGGCGATCGGGACAATCGAGCTGCTACTACAAAGCAAATACGATGAAACGGAGAACCGTCTTGGACACGCCCAAGTCCTTCAGCTCCTTCAGCTCTGTCTCAGGACGTACTTCACGTTCGACGGAACAATCTACGAACAGGTGAAGGGCACACCAATGGGTTCGCCGATTTCGGGATTCATCCCCGAGGCGGTCCTGCAACGGTTAGAGTCGCTGGTCTTCCAACACCACAGACCGAAGTTCTGGGCACGGTATGTGAATGATACCTTCCTCGTTATCGATCGGAATCAACTGTTGACATTCAATGAACGTCTGAATGCGGTCTTCCCGGACATACAATTTACGATGGAGGAGGATGAGAACAACCAGCTGGCCTTCCTGGATGTCCTCCTATGCCGCAAAGATTGTGGTGGACCAAAGTGTTCAGGAAAGCGACAAATACGATGCAAGTACTGAACTTTAACAGCAACCACCCAATCAGCCAGAAACGCAGTTGTGTAAGGACGCTATATCGGCGTGTCGAAACGCACTGCAGTGAGCCGGAAGACAAGATTGCCGAACTACAATACCTCCGACGGGTCTTCGAAGCCAATGGCTACCCGCGCAACTTCGTCGGCCGGTGCATACGCAAAAGGGACAGAAGGCCTAACCGCACGGACACCAAGTCTTGGCGGGCACTTCCGTATGTCAAGAACGTTTCGGAAGCTGTCGGCCGCCTTCTCGCACCACTTGGGGTTGGTGTTGAACACAGAACGGGGGCAACCATCAGGCGTCAGGTAATGAAGCCGAAAGACCCGCTGTCACGGCTATAAACGTCTGGAGTCGTTTATCGGATCTGATGCAGTTGTAGACAGAGAAACTACGTCGGAGAAGCCGAAAGACAACTCCTAACGCGAGTGACTGAACATGTGACAGCAGTGCGGAAAAATGACTCTAGCTCTCAAGTTGCGGCTCATTCGACGAGATCGAAATTCTCGCAAGAGGTGACAACCGCGTGAGCCGCCAGCTGGCCCGCAGTACATTAAAAAGTGCAATGATCTTCCCCTTTCATACTCGGTGCTGAGACTTCGCCTAGGCGGAGTAATTAGCCACGCGGGGAGCGCACAGGTGAACACTGTTCCCAACACGAGGATGGTTGTTGACTCTGTGGGTGGCCGTGATTGGCTGTCCCAAAGGTTGCGTGGGCGTGTGTTTTGGTCACTCGCTAGCCGTGAGCGCATGATTACTAGCGCTGCGTAGATAACAGCAGTGGAGGGCCTGAGACGCTAAAATTACGCCTACGCAGGGGGAATCGTGTGCATATCACTAGGGTGCTGGGTAACTGTCATGACCCGCCTGCTACTTGAAATCGCGTGGAGTGTATACGCACTCGACCCCTGTCCCCAATACCAAAGCAGCAGACAAAGATAACACAGCCGGCCACGGAAAGTGTATTAGAAAAAACACTGCAAGTCGCGACTCATATTTATAACACCCTACTGTGGTTCGCCGGTATTCTGTCCAATGACCTTCGGGAAGAGGGGAGTAGCCAATGGAGAGGCGCCTGACTGAGATGACAGCGCTGAAGAGAGAGTAAACGCACGTGGTCTCCAGTGATTGGCTGGTTCTTGTTTTTGGGAATGTAGGCACTCCCAACAGTAACTTGCTATTCAAATATACGTGGTTTGAGAAGTGAATTTGGAGAATTTGGCCTGAATGGACGGCTTCCAGAAGGGCGCTGTGAATGCAGGTAGAAAGAGGTCGAAATGACCACTGCCCGATGAACTCGCTTGTGGAGTTTATTGCGGCGTCGGGATACGATGATCGACAAGGCGAAGGCTCCCAAACCAAAAGTCACGAAAGGGTAAAGTTTGTACAGCCTTTACTGGGGCGAGATGGACACAGCTGGAAGTGGCGGCAAACTCGGTGACAGCTTTTGAGATTCTTGGTCGCTGTGTGTGTGGCACACGTGTGCGTGCTCCTGAGCTTTGTGTGCCTGCAACCAATCAGCCGACGACGCAGAGTCGATTGACTTCGTGTGTTCACCATGCCGTTGTCTGGTCCTACGATTTGCAGACCGGAGGCAGCATGAAAAAGCGCTCGCGCCGACGACCACGGGAACGTACTGTCAAAGGAAGTGATCATTATACGCTTTTCCCAGGGGGTTATATACCATACTTTTGCCAGAACTGTTTCTGAAAGGCGTCAAAAGGTCCCAGGAACCCAGAAAGTCTTTCGTTATGGATTGGTGGATGTTTTAAGGGGTGGATCGCAGACGATAGAGCAATAGAAGCGGTAAATGACACTCGGCTTGGATGCACTACTTAACAGAAGTGTCATCGACTCCTTGTAGTGGTACTGTGAGGGAATCCGCAACTGCTCTTGATGATTGGGTAAGGAGTGTGCCTGGGACGATTCTGCCCCGGTCGAGTTCCCCGGAGTTAGGTGTAGTGAGTAAAGGCGGGTAAGGGGTGGCGAGAGAGAAAGAAATGGAAAATGAATGGAATAAGATGAAACTCTACAGCGAAATATGCAATGACCTAGGGGAACTCAAAAGAAGGACTTCACAGAAGTGAATACACACCCATGTCACGCACCGCAAGTAAAAATCTAAAAGTTCGCGAATGATAGAAGAAGGGAGTAATGGTGTAAAACGCGCCGCAGTGCGGCTGCTGACGGAGCTCGAGAGATAGAGAATCTCTAGGTATAACGGGACGAGTGAGTTCCCTAGGGCCATCAATGAGCGCTCTCCTACGGATGTAGAACCAGTAATATATCATGCGTCATTCCGTCCGATCGTCCTTCGAGTATAAAGTTAAAATAAGACGTAATTATCTACCGAATGAGCAAAAGAATGAATATTCACACGCATGTTTTCCATGAAATATAATTGGACTTTTAGGGGCATCGAAAATCAAAGACAAACGTTCATGCTACTTAAGTAGTCATTTTCAGAGAGTGCGATTCTTGCATGCAGCCGGAAAGAAGTCTTTTCGAAAGCCCGCATCCTGAAACAAAAAAGCATTTCGGAATTTCGGTTTACATTTCATGAGTTAGCCCGCCTATTGTAACTATGTCGTCATTCAGTTTAGGAGACCTACGAATGGGACCACGACTATCGAGCAGCCGGAAGATACTTACCTGAAGCCCTTGGAACGGCTAATTACAAGCGCCTGAAAACTCCACAATCGCCCACTCAATTACTCAAAATGACGGAGACTGATTCTCACATAATACTTTTTCATTCAAACCCATAAAACCTGCGTCAGTCATTGGGTCGACGGACAAAAAGCACGGTTAGCGGAATGTCACCGTAAATGAAGTAGATGTCCGCGAGATAACACAGCTGACGGACTCCGACCCAGATGTGGGAACATTCCTTGAGTCCTACCAAAACCGGCGGTTTCCTTTCTTTTCAAACGCTCGTGTTGCCACTATCAACGGCATCCTCCCAAATGATCTCTAAAAGCCAGGGTTCACTTCAAGGTCTAACTCGATTAGCCATCTATTTAAATTCTTGTCCAGAGGACAATGAGTCTCTACACCGATGGATTCATCCGACGCAGCATTCACAGAGATGCACTGTATCGGCCACGCCCTCTCCTCTCATACACAACGTGTCAACTCACCGGAACACGTTGATGAGATCAATTATGACCGGAAAGGAAGACGGAAGAGAAAGAGAACCGGTTCGGAGAATAAGCACATTACTGACACCCTGCGAGCACGAGGGGTTATAACTCGTCAGAAGGGTGCTTTATTTGTGTTAGCTCCTGTGCATTCTGCAACACTCCGCCCGATGGCGTGCCAGCCGTTGAGGGCGTTCTAGGACGTTCCTGCGCATGCCGTGGCGGTCGCGGATTGGCCACCGCGTGCGCGAGAATCACTCCACCCCGGAAAAGTCTCGAATGTTCGACCAACCATTGATTGGGCTGCGCACGTTAGCAAAACCACCACAGTGCTCGGTGCTGCAATACATGCCGATCAGCTGCCTAATCTCACGCGTGCACCAAGCCGCCGACTTGGTCATTACCTCATTCTGTCTCGCGGGGAGCTGTTGCCGACACCCAGTAAATGCGATGTCTGGCGCCTTTGGTCAGTTCGACGAGGTCAATCACATTGCCAGCTAGCGGTCGCAGATGCACTGATCTCACCGTCTGGCCGACTTCCGTTGGAACACTCGTGCGTCTAGGAAGTCGCGGCCGCCCATGCACCACCTGAACACACCACCTTTCTGAAAATGCAACATGACAGTCCGACCGTCGTTACCAACGATGTCCACCAGGTGCTTTACAGCAAGGGGAGAGTAGAGACGATGACTTGCGGAGGAGTTAGTTAAAAGTGATAGAAGACTTGCACGGTATCTACCGCACTTTCTCCTCCTACTTCTCCTCCTCTTCCTCCTTCCCCTCCTCCTCCTCGACATCAATCTGGCGGTAATACGGAGTCAAGAAAACAGGAGAAGGGAGTCATGTGACTAAAACAGTATGCATCTTCTTATTTCGGAGTGTAAATCTTCAAATAGCCTTGGGAAATAAGTTCACCGTGTATGTAAGCATCAACTGGGGGGGGGGGGCATCTGGCTGCCTGTCTCTAGACAATCCTTAAAATGGCAAGAAACCACTGAATTGATCATTCCCAAAAAGGAATTCATGCATTAAACGACCTAAGGCCTACAGTAGGTGGGCTAACTCATGAAATGTCAACCGAAATTTCGAAATGCGTTCTCGTTTCGAAAAGAATAATTAAGTAGGGTTGTGAAACTAATAATAATTCAGCATAATTCTATGATGATTCGGTTACCTCAGGGTGTCGGCTTTCGAATGAACATATTTCCGACTACAATATACTCTGAAAAAATGACCAGCATGCGATTTGCTCATTGATTTTCGATGCTCTTATGAATTCAATTATATTTCATGGAAAACATGCATAAAAAT